ACTACTATAGAAGGAAAGTGCATGAAACTATATAAAAGTACATCTTAGACAGGCTTTCGGTGAGATGCTTTCCGTATGAGTGATAAATCACACAGACTTTGATTGATTTCTATCCTGTCTACGTTACCCAATGTAAGAGGGAAGTCAATAAGCCTCCGAAAGGCTCAGCAAACTTAATAAAAATGTAAGGGAATAATACATAGATTCTATAGCATCCTCCATTAGATGGTGACATAAGTGCTGCCTTGTTTTCTCTGTAACAACAATCAATACATCTATCCTAGATTTCTATCTTAACAGCAGTCCTCTGTGGGTTTTTTTTTGCAGTGCTCCAATGTGCTTTGGGTATCACAGTTTGCATGACTATTTTTTTTAAAAAAAAGATTTTGAGAAAGGTCAGTCCTTCTACAGTGCTAATTATATTGCTTCAGAAAGAGATTAGACCACGGTAGCAACCAGGAAGAACAGCTTTTATATAAAGCTTCAATAAGTAGCAAACATTAAAGCACACTTTTCCCCCCGCTGAGTCATTCAACAGACTGGGGTTCAGTTCATTAATTTGCACAACATTGTTCACCAAATTTCTTCCGAAAATAATTAATTTTTATGAAGTGTTATTTGCTTACAACTTTAGAATTTGTTTCTGGTGAAATCAAAATCAGACTTCAGGAAGAATTATGTTGAATTTATCATGGTCATTATTACCATATGGTATTTCAGCTAAAGAGTATCTTCATGATTTTCTTCTGGCTTTCTTTTACTTCTTTGGGGTTTCCCATTCTCAAGAATTATGGGGAATATTTTACATCCATGAAGCAACACCGTAAGAGTGATAATTTTCCAAAATGCAATGTGTACTAAATACCACATGGGAAAGAATACCAACAAGGTATGTAATAACATCCACATAATATCAGCTGTACCAAGAATGCATTTCATAACCACAGGATAAACAGGACATGCTAGACTGGGACTTATTTGGGTGGGAATGTAGGCCCAAGGCTTGTGGGGACTCTGAGAGGCAGAAGATACAGTATGGTATTCCTGAGGGGTGGGGGAGACTTTGGAAGGTCTGAAAAAGGTGGGCCTAGGTCTGCACTAGGCTTCCCAGGGCCTCCCCTATGTTTTAGACACCCTGTGCTCCACTTAACAACATGTATGGTCAGAAGAGCAAGGATAGGGGTCATTAAGCGAAGCAATCATGTTATTATATTGCTTAATGACTATTCTGACTTTCAACTTTAATGGGTAGGCTTCTTTATGGTCATAAGTCAAGGACTATATGTACTTGATTTTAGGTTCTCTGATGCATAATATGGCCAAGCAGAATAAAAATATTTATGCCCACTAGTAAGGCCATGAAACAGTTGAACATGAAAATACAATTTTCTTTTTATACCCACTATAATTTAATCCCAACATATTTTATCCCATTCCTTCCTATTGTGGTTTTCACTTCAAGTCATGAAGCTGGGCATTTGTTGGCTGTTGACATTTACTAATGACCTATTGCTTAGCAACCATTCAAAATTATGATGGACCACAAACTCCAACTTATAATCGAGATTCAAAATCTGACCCTACTATCTGTGGTCACATTATGTGGTCACATAGTGACTGGCTATCATAATTTATGATCATAATTCTGGGCTCAATTGCGGTCATACATTGAGGACTATACATAACATATGCTGGGTCTCAGCTCCAAGAGTCATAATCTGTCGATGAAATTTCCACAGGAATCTGTCTAGACATGAGAAAACAGAATGCTAGATTAGATGGGGTTTTAGACTAATTCAGTGTTTCCCAAACTTGACCCTTTGAACATGTATGGACTTCAACTCCCAGAATTCCTCAACCAGGCATACTGGTTGGGGAATTCTGGGAATTGAAGTCCATGCATCTTAAAATAGCCAAGTTTGGGAAACACTGGACTAATTCATAATGGTACATCTTTGTTATGGCCTGTCAGCGGCCTGTACAGATTGTAGCTGATTCCGACAACGAGGAGGCTGATGTGGTGCTGCGCCAGCAGCCTTGCAGCTGGTGAGTCGGACAGTGAGGAGACTGGAGAAGATGTGGTGCCAGAGGCAGGGATTCAGCCAGGGCCTTCAGAACCCCTAGAAGCTCCTTTAAGTGAAGAGGATGAAGAGGAGGAGCCTCTTCTCAATGCATGGGCCCGCAGAGCTTCCAAAAGGCAGGAGTGGCTCCTCAGGAGGAGGTCTCCTTGAGAGCAAGGCTTGGGGCTAATTGGCCACTCCCTTAGCCTATTTAAGGAGGAATGCCAATTGCAGCAAGTTGTAGGGAACAACTTTAGTTCACTCTCCTTCGCGTCTGGATTCTCTGCAAAATTGCTCCTGGGCTTTCTGCCAACTCTAATAAGACTGTGATTACCTTATCTCAGAATTCTTGTAGGCTGTTAAGACAGTTTATTAACAGCCTTTGGTTGATAAAGACTGAGTTATTTGAGTAAAATAAGCTTTGTATAGAGTTTGTGTGTGCTGCATTCTTTGGGGTCTGTAGCTGGGGCAGAACAGTCTTATAAAACTAATCAACATTTGGATTTATACCAGTTATGCAAGACTGCAGTTGGAACATCTATCCTACTGACAACCCTATTCAAGTGTTCTGGGAGATTCCACCTACACAATATAAAACACAAACCTCGATGCAATCTGCATTAGGAAAGGTCAGGGACATCAGAATTTAGATGCTGAGTTCCTATTCAAAATATAGAGTACTTGACAGTGAAGCTACATTTATATTCCAGAAACATTCTAAAGATTGTTCACAAACAGCTCTTCAAATCAGAGAACAGCGGATATATTGATAAATTCAATGAAATTACCTGTTCAAGGACATTTTCTGCATGCTGTAAGCAATAGGCAATTGTTTTTAAACATTATTACTTATTGTTTGAGCTGCATGTAATACTATATATGTATCACGTAAATTTGTTCTGACTTTAGAGTTAAAAGAAAACTCTTACCCTTTAGAGTCTGAAATAAAATGATAGGCCTGGCTATGCTGAAGTAGAACCAAACAATCTCTCAGATTTTCATTTGCTAGAGTTACGAGAAAAAGCTGGAGGGTACACATAGGAAGAGACATTTATAATGCCACGGTTTTGGTATTAAGCTTAGTATTGTTATTATTATACAATTTATCAAGTGAAATGTATGTAGGGGTGAAATCCAGCAGGTTCTGACAGGTTCTGGAGAACTGGTAGCGGAAATTTTGAGCAGTTCGGAGAACCAGTAGCGGAAATTTTGAGTATCATCTCTGGCTGGTCCCAGAGTGGGGTGGGAATGGAGATTTTGCAATATCCTTCCCTGGAGTGGGGTGGGAATGGAGATTTTGCAGTATCCTTCCCCTGGAGTGGGGTGGGAATGGAGATTTTGCAATATCCTTCCCCTGCCACACCCACCAAGCTACACCACGCTCACCAAGCCAAGCCCAAGGAACCGATAGTAAAAAAAATTGGATTTCACCACTGAATGTATGCCTATGTTTCTATCTCTCTCTCTCTCTCTCTCTATCTACATATATATCTACACATATATGGTTTATTAAGCTTATAGTGAAAAGCTAAAGTAAAGTGATGAAGCTGAGGCAACAACCTTGGCAATGTCCCTTTATTTTTCTTGTATCTCATGTTGCTGTGAAGAGTAATAGGATGAGAACTGTGAAAATGTTTGAGTGCTGAAATGTACTGTAGAAATTAACCATAACGAAGTAGCAAATTGATTTTCTCCTTTTCAAATGCACTTTCAAGAATTCAAAAATAAATGACTCATGATGCTTACCAAATGCAACATTTTTTTTTCTTTAAAGTGAGTTTGTTGAAACATTCCAAATAAGAAAGTGGGACTCTAGCAACTTGTGAGTGGTTGCTGGCTTGCTTTGCTGTGCAATAACACTTGCTTCTAAGAAAGTGCCATTTTTCCCGTAAATAATGCCTTTCTTCATGAAGTAGGAAAATAGTAGCCAGTAGGGTTAGGCAGCTTTATTCAGTTCCAAAAAATTGGAATAGAACTTTAAATATTTAAAAATGTGGCACAGGTCTGTAACCCTTTAAAGTAACTATGTCTTTTCCCATAATTACAGGCCAGCTGCAGAGAGCAGCATTATCCTCCTATTTCTAGGAGAACATAGCTACTTTAAAAACTTTACATAAAGTATTATGGCCATGTCCTATGTGCTCAAAGCACTTTTTTAGAATCAAATCCAAAGCATTTTCCAGCCGTAGTAGTTAATCCAATAAAACCAGCTCCTCAGTAATATACTTTGCATTTATGAAAAAGTTGGGATTATTTAAATAATTCTTGGATTACTCTCAGATTGCTCCTGCGTGAGCAGTTGGGTACCAAGGGAGAGATGGTAATGGTAGTCCACCATATGTGCAGGCAGTGGTGAAATCTGGCCGGATCTATCCGGCTCACACAAGCCGGTAGGGTCGGCAGTGGGAGGCTCCGCCCACTTACCGGGACATCATTATGTCCTGTTTTTGACCCTCTGTGTGCGCTTACATTTCTGATCTGGTAGCGATCTCCCCGTGCTTTGCCTGCTTTTCTCATTGCTGCTTTCTCTCAGCTGTGCCTTAGAAGCTGTTTTTTATCCCCCCAAAAAACCAGCAAAACAATGTGCTGAAGCTGACCAGTCTAAGGGCGCTAGCCAGATGAATACCTGATAGGCAGATTTTTTCCCCCCTATTTTTCTCACCAAAATCTAAGCTGAGTCTTATACTCCAAAAAATACGGTATCTTGAATTTATAGTTCTTTTTCTATTTAAGAAGATAAAATAATATCTAACACTTGAAATGAAAGGCACGATGCTTTCACATTGGCTTTCTAAAATTACAGTAGGCTGAGTCTGATTTTTTTTTCCAAAGAAAGTTAAATGAATGTCATAATTTGAGTCATCTTCAGGTGTATAATGAGGCTATTTGAACAGTAAACATTAGAACAAGATTGTTTCCTGGAGCAGGAATCAAGGCTCATCTGTAACGGAACTGAACAGAAGAGTACATTAAATAGAGTTCTTTGCAAAAGGCCAGGTAGCAAACAGTCTGAACAAAAGACCAAATAATTAATTGGTGGCAACCAGCCTAGAAAAACCTCATTGGCTAACAAAGTTATTTTCAAAGAAGAAAGGGGCAATTAAAAGAATGAAGGCAAATTAAATAAAAGGATTATGACCCTAGACTACCAATTATAAAGAACTCCCATATGTTTATTTTATAGTAATTTGTTTTATATTAGTTGGTTCCTACTGTTGGTTAGAAGTGTAGATTATGAATTTTAAAGTGCAGCTGCTTTCTTGTGGTTTTGGAGAACCACCAATTCTAGAAGTTTGTGCGTTTATTTTATCAATTTATATCTTCATAAATTTATTTTACAAACAAATAAGTGTATAATATATATTTTACATGTATAAGTTATGTAGGAATTATATGATCAAGTGACAACATACCGGTAATCCTATGACTCTTGACTGAAGTAAATCCTACTGAATTCTGCATGAGCCAAATTTTCTTCAGTGATTTAAATCAGAAATAACACCAAATGTGACGTTTTTCCTCAATAGTTGTATCTTCATCTTTCTCCTCCTCACAACACTGTATATGAGAAGGGAACTCTGTGCAGCAAAGATTATATATAATAAATTATATATAATATACAAATTATATATGTAATTTAATACTTTGTATTTTGAGAAGGGGTTTAAAAGTAAAATAAAATTTTACAAAGACTTATGGTATTCAAATTTATGCTTCTATACATCAGGTGAACTTTTCAAATTTGATGGGTCAAGAGCTCCCTGTTTGGAACAGATTGCCCGATCTGGTAGTGATGGCAGCGGGTGGTTCGGAGAACCAGTAGCAAAAATCACTGCCCCCCTCCCATGCCCAGCTGAGCCACGCGATCATCAGAGGCTTTTATTTTTTACTTTTAAAAGCATTTTTTCTTCGGCCAAAAACATGTTTTTATACGTAAAAAAAAAGCCTCTGATGATTGCACGGCTCAACTGGGATTGTCAGAGCCTTTTAAAAGCATTTTTTCTACAACCTCTTTGGCCGAAGAGGTTGTAAAAAGATGCTTTTAAAAGCCTCTGGCAACTCAGCTGGAAAAAATGCTTTTAAAAGTTGAAAAAAAAAGTTGGCCACGCCCACCCAGTCACATTAACCCCCCCCCCAAGCCATGCCCACAGAACCAGTAGTAACAAATTTTATATTTCACCACTGGTTAAGGGACAAAATCACTTTTAAACATTTGTGAGACTTTCCACTTCCATTTTTAAAAAAAATTCAGCTCCTTCCACACTGATTTTATAATACAATTGACCATATTCTTTGTGACCTTCAGTTAGGACAAGAATAACAAAGAAGTGTAAAATAAGAAAAAGGAATTCAGGGACATCCCCAGTGGGTTCAAACTAGACAAGATGGGGAACAGCATTCAAACCTTGCCCATTTTCTATGAACCTCAGTGGTTCATACCCATCCAAAGGACAGGGCTTGGGTTGAAGTGCTGCCTCCCCAGAGTTATGAGGGGAAGTAAAATGAAGGTATAGCTATTGAGGAAAAAATATTTTTACATTATTTTTTTTTTGCCCATGTTGAGCTCACCCGATGGACACAGTGATGTCACACACCACTATATGAAACTACTCATTTTATTTCCCCTGTTAATATCTATGTTTGGATATGAGTGAAACAGAAATAGAATAAAAGAATAGTTAATATTTTTTTTAAAATATGAAATATATCTACCAATTACCAGTGAAGTTCCTCCTAATATGTAAAGCCTCAATATTCTTATTTATTTATTTATTTATTTATTTATTTATTTATTTATTTATTTATTTATTTATTTATTTTCTTCACTGCCCATCTTACCTAAGTGATTCTGGGTGGTTTACAACATAATAATACAATATAAACACCTGAAGAAAAACACAGATTAAAAACAGAGTTAAGAACAAGATAAAAGTTATAAATTAATAGTCAAAATCAAATTTAAAAATATGTACATTGCTCCATATATTGGAACAATGTTTTCTTTAGAACAGAAACCTTAAATTTCCCAGTAAAAGGATGACCATCCTGGAAAACTTGAAATGGCAATCATAGAATGTAATTTGCTTGAGGAACTTCTTCTTTTCATTCTGAATAAATAAAAATGAGTTACAAAGGAATCTAATAAAAATAGTTCCTTGCAGGCTCATTCAATACTGGTGGCATTTGTTTTATAATAAAAGTGAGGACTGAGCTAAATGTAATGTTACAAATGTCACCCTCAAGTTATATTAAAGATTTAATTTTGTTTGCTTGAAATGTTATGAAAGAACTCACATGTCCAAATCCCTTATGGGGGATGGGAGTGAGGATAAATGACATCCAAAATTAAGAAGCCACAGAGATATTTCTTAAGAGGAAACATGTGTCTTCCACCAAACTCAGAAATATTCATGAAATATCCCTTTCCATTCACTGCTCTGATCTCAAATCTCCTGCCCAAATAATCACATTCAAACAGAACCATGTGTACTGTAATACGAATAGCCTCCCTGACTCAAAACTAATTAAACCGATCTTTTTGTAGCTCTCCTTTGTAATTCTGAGGCGTATGTCCATCAGTCAGCCAACACAGAAGTAGAAAAGGTTATGTTCACTATACTGCTAACTAAATACAGAGAGCATCTAGGATGCTCGAGCGCTAAAAAGATGCTTGCAATCTTTCTATTTTAAGACTGTTTTTTTAGTCAGTACCTGGACAGCATTTAAAGTCAGAAAGACAGAAATATAATGTAAGATATCGCACGACCAATATCCTTCAATGAACGTTGTCCTTTCCCAGAAGAATACGCATTTCCTCTGTTTTCCATATCAGTCTCCCTTTCTGACTTGTAGTTGAATTAATCTGGGGTAAACAACTGTAGATTGCTAAAAATGGAAAGTTTGAGGTGACTCTCCAGCTGCTTCCTGTCAGCTCGCAACTCACAAAGGCAGTAATGTATGGTGTCATTAGATCTCTACTCAATTGCCTGGACAGATGGGAGGAGATGTTTGTGTTTCATCAATTTAGGTGCGCTTAGCCATTCTTAATGTTTGTCTGCAGTAAGAGCGTAAATGTGTTATGCACTATTATCTGAGCAATTATAATCTTTCCAAATAAACACACACAATTCGTTTGCAGGTAGTCATTGAAGTAAAAACAGGTGTTTCCTATAATCTTTATGATTGCTTACACATCTCAATTTCCTTGTCTTAGCCTCCAATTACTTTGGAATGTAGAGACTTAGGCGAAGCCCCTGATCAAAGGCACCCAACTTTGGAAAGAGTTATTCAGGGATCCAGTCACACTAAATGTAGCCAGGGTAGTTCTATAGACAGTGAAATAATTTATATATTCAGTCAACTGTTTAGTCATCAGAAAGGTTTTTTTTAAATGTATTTTTTCATTAAATCTAAAACATCAAACCGTTTAAAAAAAACCTCAGTTAATAATTGGCTCTTAGCTTGGAAAATGACTCTATCGTTGACTAGAATGCATTAAGAATTTAATTCAGTAATATAACAAAAATTATTAAAATATCTATGGTATGTTTAAAAAAGTATTTAATAACTAGATCAGGGGTGTCAAACTCGTTTTCATTGAGGGCCGCATTAGGGTTGTGTTTGACCTCGGGGGGCCAGGGGCCGTGGCCAAGGGCGTGGCCAGGGTAGGCGTGGCCAGCTTGACGTCACTCATCAAGGCTCCATTTTCAGCTGCAACGGCCTTCTGTAGCCCTCTGCCAGGGAAAACAGAGCTTGGGGAGGCCTCACACAGCCCGCCTCATCTCCATTTTCATTGGCAGAGGGCTGCAGAGGGCTGTCACGGCCAAAAAAGGAGCCTGGGCAGGCTGTGCATGGCCCTTCCAAGCTCCATTTTTTCTAGCAGAGGCACCATGAGCTGATGTTTCACTGTTTCCAGGCTGGGCACACAGGCCAGATCTAAGAACCCTGCAGGCTGAATCCAGCCCCTGGGCCTTGAGTTTGGCACCCCTGAACTAGATCATAAAATCACAAAACCGGTGCACAAAATAATAATAAAAGAAAAAAAGAGACTTAAAAGAATAAGTGATATTGAAAACTTAAAGGCTCTCCAAAATAGCTGTAAAACTTGTAACATCTTCCTGAATGCCATCAGGGAGAAGGCTAACCTGATCTCCATTGAAGATGGAATGCTTTTCTGTTTACTCTGCAGATATAGCATGGATAAGTCTACAAAGAAGACTAAGGGGAAGAAAATTGGTATTGGTCCAGAGAAGCTGAACATCAGCTTCCTTCAGTCTTGGTCAAAGGGCCAATATGCCTAAGACTTCTGAAGGACAGTTGATTGCCTTATTGTGGATCATGAAAGATAACATATCATAAATATAAATAATTGGAATAACTGATCATTTGTCAGATTATCAGTATTTACACATAATAAAAGTTCTGGAAGTACCCTTGAACAATTTTTCTTCAAATGTGGAAGTGTGTAGGTAGCAGATGAAGGTCAAGGCCAAATCTGGCCAAACTAAAAAAAGATGTAGCACCATTCCAAAAACAGAACAAGATAGTTCTGGGAGTAAGAAGCAGTATGGCAGAAATCACAGGTTTTGTAAAATGCTCTGGAAATGCAAAAACCATTTTGCTGATTGCTGTCTGAAGTTAGGCTTGTGTATCATCTCACTCCTGCTCAATACAGCATTTGAGACAAGCTGGGATACTACCGGTAGGAGCCAATCAAGGCTCCTTTCAGCTGACCAATAGGAGAGCTCTGGTGACGGCAGCAGCTCTTGGAGAAATTCCTTCACACGGACACCCCACTGCATGCCAAAGAAGAGGGAAATGCTGTCCCCCACTTTCCTGCTTTCAGCATGTACTGAATACATTTGTCTATTGATCTGCACACACACAAAGGTCAAGAATATGAATTGTTAGTATGAGAGGAAAGTTACCAGTGTGCACATAAATTCCCACCAAAAACGATAATGTTGGCACCACCGTGTCATTTTCTGTGGCAGCAAGGATGGTCTGTTACACCGTGCAGCCTCTGAGGGGAAGCTGTGTTATGGGTAGGCATGAGTGGAGGGGAGGAGAATAAGGGCTGTTTTTAATCCAGAGGATGAGAAGCAAGGCAATTTAAAAGCTTGGTGCATGCTGCTTTTTATATAAGCAGGTGGGGAAATCAAGCTAGAAAGCTGGCTAAAGAGATCATGTTTATGAAACCATCCAGCAGAATTAAGGAGGGGAGGGGGTTGCTAAGAAAGACAGTGTGCTGAAGGGTCCCTTTAAAACTCTCAATACAATCTCCTAAAGCTGTCTCTAGCCTGCCTGCTTTTTAACTGTAGCCCTTACATATGACATGAAACCTATCTGAAGCTGACTGAACCTGTGAGCTTTTGTGCTATACAAAAATTAGGCCTCCATACAATATTTAATGTAAATTAAAACATTACATCTAGCCATTTCACTTAAGGATAGAGAAAAAAAAGGAACAATTACACACAAAAATGTATTCCATCCATATTACATTTCCAAATGGATCCCAGGCTATAAAATGCTTCTTCAAATATAAATTGAGAGCCAAGCAATTTATACCATTGTATAATTGATGGGGAATAAGTAACCTTCCAGAATTTTCATGGCTTTTAATAAACATTTGATACTGATCAGAACAGCCTGAGTTATGCTGCAATCAAATATGTTCTACTATGCAACACTGTCTCAGCAATTGGCACAGCATAAATTGATCTGTTGTTTAAGATCCAAAAGGATGAGGATACCATTTATGAGATTAAAGAAAATCATCTTGCTTGCTTTTAGCCATTGTTGCTATGTGGATTAAGGTTTCTATATCCAGCTACAAAGACAACCACAAAGAAAGAAACTAGAAAATATTGTTTGTGGGATAAAAACTACCAATCTCTTCATTAGATACCCAGTACTAGTATGACAAAAGGTTTATTTTTATATTAACAACAGTGTGATTTTTCACTGCTTATAGATCAAAGTTCGATTTTAATAAAAATAGAACAAGGTTATTTTACAAACAAGAACCTACAATGTCTGCAACTTGATCAATCAAGCAGACAAAAGCAAAATCTTAAGCAGTACCTGGGCCAGTTGCTGATGTGTTGGCATAGCAACTCTCAGAGTTCACTGCCAATATTATATAATTAGTTATAGAATTATAATTATTAGTTACCAAACTAATATTATCATAAAAATAATTAGATAATGGCTGATCTCAGTTGGGCATATTCAAACTAACTACCTTAAAGAATTTATTTAATAAATTCTTTCATTATCTTTTATTTTTTTAAAGCACTGATATTTTCTCCTTGCAGAGCTCCATATTGTTAAATAAATAGGAGTGGACATAAATATTGGCCCGTACCTACAAAATAAAAATAAAAATTAATCAGGAACATGTGGAGATTTTTTTAAGAACAAACAGAAACAAAACCTGTGTACTAAATCCTGTTACCCTTTTTTCCTACTCTGAACCCTATGATGTTGTCACTTACTTGTTGATAGCTGAAATGAAAATCAAGTATATTCTGTTTGCTGTTTCTTAGTGTGCTCTAGTTGTGCAGTACTTCCCAATAATTTTTACCTAAATCAAAATGCAGACTTTTGTTCTTATTTATTTATAAGATTTACAAGGCTGCTTCTCTCACACTTTACAACTGTGAGCATCATACAAAAATAAAAATAAAAAAGAGGAAAATTTAAAAACCAAAAATATTCCCAAGAAAATAAAATAGAGTCAATGCATAATTAAGACTGGCAATAAAAACATACATATCACAGAACTGATTCATCTAAAAGCCAAGTCTTTGTACAAAAAGTCCAATAAGGTTGGAACAATTCAAACATAGGGGGCCAGAGTTCATTCCAAAGGGCAGAGAAGGCTGTTCCATAAATTCCACTGAATGACATTGTTTCAGAGAAGGAACCTGGAGCATGTCTACCTTGTACCACAGGCAAAGATTCCAGGGAGAGGCAATCTCCCAAGTAACCCAATGTCATATTGGACTTCATAAGTAATAATCAGTGTGCTGAATTATACATGGAAACCTATTGGAAGTTAGTGCAGCTCACAAAATAGTGATGTTACATGGGCATGGTGAGGTATACCCATTGTTATCTCTCCTGCTATATTTTGAACCAGCTGAAGTTTTCAATTGGTCTTCAAACGTAGTATTATGTAGAGTACATTATAGAAATCCAACAGGTTAGTGACTAAGGTATAAGTAATCACAAACAGAATTTCCTGATCTAGAAGAAGATGCACAATATAAACTTGCAGAAAGGCCCCACTGGTCTTCAAATAGGAGCCAGGAGTCTAGAGGATACCCAAATTACAAACCAGGTCTGAGAGGAGAGTTCAGTCCTACCCAGAACTAAAGATGAAAACCCCCAGAAATGGATCCTAGGAGAACCTACAGCACTCCATCTTGCTAGCAGTAAGAGAGTCTGTTTCCCCCACTCCACCCCCGTGCAGACCTCCAGAATGTCTACACATTGGAACAGAACCAAGTTGGCTCATTTGGTCAGACAAGGGCAGGGATGTATACAGAGATGTAAACGAATGATACTTGATTCTCTGCCAACAGGTAACCTCAACGATGCTTCGTGTAGATGTTAAACATAAGTGAGGAAATAGTGAATCCTAAAGCATATCCCCCATAAAACAGAGGCCTTAGGGCTAGATCTTCCACACACACACACCAATATCAACTGGAAGAAACAATAGAGAAAGGAGGCAATACCATGTCTCCTAGTCTCAGCCCTCTTAGCCAAGGATAGTATGTTTAATGGGGACTAGAAGTGATGCACTTCCCCATCCTAAATCCATCACAGGATTATTGAAAAGCATAATCAGTGCAATCTCAGCATATGTTCCAGCCTGAAACCCAATAGCAAGGATTTAAGATTATTTACTTTCCATGCATCTTCAAAATTGCAGGTTGATTGCCTTCTCAACAATCTTCTCTAAATTTGGCAAATAAAAACAATAAATAAACCTTACCCTAGAGTGAGGAAAATCCTTTTTCCATGTTACTCTGAGTATGAAGCTGAGATGAAACTATGTATAAAAATAGCAGCAGCCATATGTTTCTCTTGAAAAGGTGTCACCAGACATCCTCTAACACACCTCAATTTAGCAGAAGTAATTAAAAAGGAGTTATATCTTTCTGAGTGCACATATTAAATGAAAATCTATGACAAATAAGCTGTAAATTCTTCATCCAATAAGAAAGCAACAACTTGTGACACAAATGATCTTTGATCACAATTCTTATTATGTGCTAACAATAGTGTCAGCATCTCTTCCTTTTACCTCTGTTAATAATAGATCTTCAGTTAACTATTTAAGCACCACAATTTCACAAAGAAGCTTAAAAGATGTCTATGGAGATTCTCAGTCATCCAGGTCTAGTTGTTGGGACAAGCTTGAAAGCTTGTTAACCAACACCGCAAAGAATGGAAAATGGTGTAAGACCATATTATCTGCCTTCAAGCTCAGAATGAAGACTGAGGATTGAAAATTTCCCATTAGCACTATAAATGACCCTATTGAAATTAATATGCCTGAGTGTGTTGAAAAATATCTTTTCATGATTCAATTTTAGAAGTATGAATGACAACTTAAAATAGTTAATATGATAAAATACATTACAGTATAAAAATGCAATAGAAGTTTGCTATAACAGAGCCTAAGGAATGTATTGTATGCTTCTCACCTGAACATTGATTAGAGCAAAAGAAAAACAGGACCTGTATGCACTGAAATAAATATGGTTATTGGTTAAGGAGAGATTCAGTGGACGGAGACAACCAGCATTTAAAGTCCTGAAGCTGAGAAAAATTTGAGAGCTCTTACCAGGGAAGGTATATAATCAAAACCCCATGGGGATAGTAATTGTGGGAAAGAAGAAGGGAATGGTGAAAAATGTGACTTCTCATTAAATTGTAGTTGTCCAGCTGGTGGCCTGGAACTATATGTTATCTGTCAAGAAATACTTGTTCATGCCCACCACCACGCACCTCCAATGCCATCTTCTTCAACCTACTTCTCCATATGAGATGTGAGTGAGTCAGATGCAGTTGTATGAGAGTTATTTTCCCCCCATCCTTAATTTATATTCAATTTTAAAATCACCAGAAATGTAAGGAAATGGAGATTACTATTAATGATTCAGTGTGACTATTGAACAATTAACTTCAGGGAAAAATATAATATTTAATTTGATTTAATTTTCCTCCACCACAACCAGTTTTAAAATTACTATATGGAGCTGGAGCAGCTCAAAACCCAAAGAAAATTGCAGAGATTTGCTTTAAGCAAACACAAACAATTCTTCGCACATCAGTCCAGTGGGAACTATCTCTGAAGTGTCAAATGCCAGATTGCATTGAAAGGAAATAGTCTGGCCTGATTCTTTTCCTATATATTTTTTTATATATAACTGTAATGAAGAAAGCTTGTTCTGCAATCATTTGGGACATATCTAAAATGTCAAAATGTCAAAAATAGAGGTTGCATTGAATGATAAAAGTTATGTATGACACATACAGCACACAAAAAAAGTTTACATGCCTAATAGTACCCATACATTAATGTATTTGGTCAAGATGATGAATTTAGCTGGATAAGAAAAGTGGAATGATGGTAATGCTGAAATAGTCATGGATGTAAACCCAACTCTAACTCTCACTAATCAAACTAGGATTGTTTTTTATTCCAATTTAAATCCTGTGTTCATACAACAACCAGAACAGCTTTATTTCACATCTAATCTAGCTAATTTTCATTATGTGTTTTCAGCTTAATATGATGATTGATGTCTTTGACTTGTAAATCACGCTTGAGTGTGGGAAATATTAATACAGAACACTTGATTCTTCTAAGGAACAGTACACAAGTAGGAAGAACTGAATCTGGAGAAACAGTGATTCAGACTAGAAAAGGGCTAAGAATATATATTGTCCTCCTATCCATTTAACATACACAACAAATCTATTTTGGTAGGATTGGAAAATATGACAGCTTGAAAAACCTGAAGATTAAAACATCAATTTATGACATGCAGATAATACCACTCAGCTAAACATATTTCTTTAAAAAGTCTTAGATACCTTCATTGTGAAATTGAAAGTAGAAGTGAAAAATCCAAATTGAAGTTAAATACTAAAAAGGCAAAGTTTATGCCAACCAGTATGTCATTTCAACAGCAACAAAGAGTAGCATAATGTTTATCTTTAAGGGTTATCAGTGCTAATATCCTCTATAAAACTGGACCCTGAGAAAGAGTGAGAAAAAGAAGATATGTGCCATCGAGTTATGGACTTGGAAGATCTAATCAGACCTGATCCAAATAAAGTTGGAGTTACGATCAGTAAGCAGAAAGTTTTTATGCAAGTGGATTATGGACCAGAAAAAGTGACTTCGGTTGTCATGGGTGAGGGAAGTAAAAAAAAAGAAAGACAATGATAGATGTATATGATAGATCTACAAGAACAAAACTTTATTTGAGTTTTCTTGGAAATATAACAGTAATTACTAAATAAAAGTCAAAATGATGAGCATTTATCCATATAATCACTGACTCATCATTCTGCCCCCCCCCCCCTTACTCCTCCCCACAGATACCACTAATTTGGGCTAAAATCCACTTGAAAACATTTAACTTCACTATACAAAGCCAACCTTCTCAGATAAATTAAATTCAAGATGTTTGTAAACCAAGAAACCAAACTGAAGCAATAACAAGGTATGACACCCCCGCCCCCCAACCAATATGCTGTAAACTGCAAGGGTCTATATCTCTTCACCTTCCCACCATTTCATCCCATTAAACGGAATGATAGCAATCGTATATTTTGCTTGGCTACATTTCCATTATTTTGCCCTGTGCAGAAATGGGCTCCCTACCTAAGCAGTAGGAGCGGGAGCAACCTTTATTGATCAATGACTGCATCTTTCTAAAACTGGCGGGGGGGGGGCAGTAGACCTATGGATATAGCTCTTGAATTTGGAGAGAGAGAGAGGGAGGGAGAGGGAGGGGGAGAGAGAGAGAGGGAGGGAGGGAGAGGGAGGGAGGGAGGGAGGGAGAGAGAGAGAATCCTCTTGGATAGCTCACTTGCACTCTTAATTAAGGAAGAGATGCTACTGACACGCACCCACCCCTTTTCCCCTTTTTGTTGCCTTCTGGAAATTTACCCCGCTCACAACTGCCCCCCATCCGAAACCACAGGGGCTTCCATCTCCAACATCTGGAGACCCCCCAAACCACAGGGGCTTCCATCTCCAACATCTGGAGACCCCCCCACCCCACAGGCGCCCCCATCCCCCACCTCTGGACACCCCCCCCCCACGGGCCCCCCCCCCCCCCACCCCGAGACCCCCCCCCCCCCCCCCCCAAAAAAAAACCCCACAGGGGCTTCCAATTCGTAAAGCTCTTTATGGCAGGCTTTGCACAGCCCGAGCAAGAGGGTGGCACCGGCTGGGGAAGCCAGGGGTTAGCCCGGATTCCCTCTCGAGCCGTTTCTCAGCGGAGGCGAGCTTGGCTGGGCGGTCGGCGAGCGGTTCGGGAACCCGGCTTGGATGGGCCAGGGAGAAAAGCGAAGGGCAAGGGCGGAGGGGAAGACGGCGGGACCGCGGACAGCTCCTCGCCCTTCCTCTTCCCCCCTCCCCCCCCCCTTCGGCTGTGCCGTACGTATTATCTGGATTATTTTGATCCCAGCCCCGTAGCCCCCTGCCTGCGTTGGCGAACGCTCCGGCTCCTCCTCTCCCCCGGGAACATCCAGCAAGAAATCAGGCCGGGAGATTTGACGTCAGGGAGCGCTTTCGTCCTTTTGACGTGGAAGCGCTCATTCCCATTCTGGCCGTGGCGGCTCCGAGCCCGGCTCCAGCATGAGACGAGCAGAGAGCGAAGGAGGCGACGGCGGCGAGGCACTTTCTTAGCAACTGCCCGCTCCTTCCTCTCCCGTAGCAACCAGAGCCGAAGGGACTTTCCTCGCCTCCTCCAGCAACGCTTCCCCGACTTCTCCGGCTGCCTCCTATTCGCTAGCATTCATTTCCTCTCCCCCCCCCCCCCGGGGAAGTAGCCCTTTCGCTCTGCCAAAAGGGGCCATGGAAAAGAGATGCCGGGCAGGGCAGGGCGTGATCGGGGCTCTCCTCTGCGCCTGGACGGTGGTCCTGCTGGCCAAGGCAGAGCGGCAGTTTGTCAATGAATGGGCAGCCGAGATCCCGGGAGGTCTAGAAGCCGCGCGGCTCATAGCAAACGAACTGGACTACGAACTTCTGGGACAGGTAAGACGTCACTCCTCCCTTTTCTTTTCTTTCCTTTTCTTTTTTTTCTTTCTTTTTCTTTTCTTTTTTCTTTTTTCTTTTCTTTGTTCTTTCTTTCTTTCTTTCTTTCTTTCTTTCTTTCTTTCTTTCTTTCTTTCTAAGTCGGGCAACTTTAGAGAATGAGAAACGGCGGATAATGGATCCTGTGACTGGCAGGAGATGCAATTGGTAAGGGTGTCTTGTTTTGATTTGGGAAGTGCGCTCCACACCTTTCCCTGCCAATCTTTCCCAGAGATTCTCTGCCTTTAAGGCAGAGGTTCCTTCTTCCTCGTTGGTATTATTGTCGTTGTTGGCGAAACTAACAAGGAGCAAGTTGTCGCTCTTCGCTCCTGATGAGAAACTTTTGACTTCTTTCCCACTTCTGCCCCATCTTCCTTCTTTAGAATGGACGCCCCTGGTTATCTGTCACCTTGCCCCTGCTGCGTTTTGCCCTTGAACAGATTTTTTTTAAAAAAATTGGCCAGTTACCACGTAACTGTGACTCCAAGCAGCCTACACCGATTAAAACAACAGCTATGACCAATAACCCACGGACTAACCCCTAAGGTAAAACAGCCCACCCCAGTCATGACAGTGGAAGCAAGGGGTGATTTGGGAACCAAGGCTGAGGCAGGGAGCGTTGCATATGATCTGTTTTCTCCTGCGAAGAAGCCCATGTGCTGAATGGAGCAAAATCAGCAGCAGATGCTGGAAATTGCAAAGCAGCGAATTAAGGTGAAAGCCCTCTGGGAACGCCACTTGGCTTGGCCTTAACCCTTTCAGCTAAACCCAAATGCCACCGCTGAAGTTCTGAATGCTGAGGTTCCTGAGGTCCTGCAGATGGGGTGGGTTTAACTTTAACAGCAAAAGAAGAGACTATTTTGGGGGTTGGGATCTACCCCTACAGATCCCAAACAACAGACATTTGAGATTGTGTAAAGAAGTCACCAGTCAGAAGGTCTGGGTAAAAATAAGTTACAAAATTTTCTCCCTTTACTTGAAAAAAAACCACAATGATCAAGATGTAGGAGGCTAAAGGCACAGCTACATTTAGTAACCCCTAGTCTCCATACTCTATACTATATTTTTTGTTCCTCTGTAAGCTCTCTCTAACATCTGTTTCCTCTTTTATCATCTTGATTTGCTTGTTTAACCAAGCTTTATGGTGTGTAACATGCATAACATGTGAGTGTGTGAGAGAGGGGGAGGGAGGGAGTGTGTGTGTTAAGTATATGGTGAATGACTCCTCACTAGTTTATAAATGGCTATTTGGCAAATAAAAGTATGCAAGATCTGATTCACTGCTGCCTGAGATGAACCAGCTCACTGTGCTATATAGCACAGGATGCTGTCAAAATTGCATTGGCAACAAGTCAGACAAACAAAAGAAAAGACAAAGACAAAACATTCAGAGGAAAGATATTATAGATTTACTGACTATGTTCATCTATATACCAGAGATGGAGAACCTTAGTTTCTACAGCTGCTGGATGATCAAGCCAACATGCCCAGTGCTGGAAACTGTAATTCAGCAATACATAGAGAACCATGGATATTCCACATCCCCCAGTATATGTCAGCCTATCAGTCTATACCCCTAAGGAATCACTCATATTAAAGCTAATCTTTCAAATAATGCAGCATAATAAATTGCTACAAAAAGATTGCAATTAGTCAATTGCAATTAATTCCACTATGCAATCTTCCATAAGAATCTATTTATTGGTAAACCATTGTAGCTATACTCCCCTCATCAGTTTTCTTCTATAGAAAATTAACTCATAAGCTCAACAATTCTCCTATTTAATAGAGAATACTGAGTTTGAACCTGTAATCAGCACTTGTCACAATAAAATTTCATTTAAAATTTAGAATTCTGACCTCACCTCTGAAAATTGGTTCATTGTATACATTATAATACCCTGTTTCTCCCAAAATAAGACATCCCTGATAATAAGCCCAATCAGGCTTTTGAGCGCATGGCAATAAGGCCAAGCACTTATTTGAGGGTTCAAAAAAATATAAGACAGGGTCTTATTTTTGGGGAAACACAGTACATATTATGCAGTCAAACACACATTCTCCCCCTCTCCCCCTTTCTCTCTTGAAAACAGGAGGATAAAGTATGCATTGCTCATTTTGTAAACTTTTCTCTAATTGTGCACTTTAATTTGTGTAATGCCACAAATCTGCAAGTACTTGTACATTTATTCCAGCATAAACAAATTAGAAGAGAATATGATTTGAAAAAATAAAATATATGTCTATGAAATCCGTTTATTTTCTATTGAGAAAATTTCTGATACAATTTTAGCCATATCAATTATCTAGTTATCTAATTCCTCTCCCATGCAAATATCCATTATGTTATATGCTATATAACATAAATCTAATTTATCACTGAGCTTATGACAAACTACCTTTACCTATAGTCCTGCATGGGATCCATGATCCCATTATGATCGTTACCAGTGTGTTTATTTCTTTAATAGTCTTTTTATGATTTGTTGTTATTGTTCAATATTTTGTTTGATTTTAAAAAAATGAAATACAGTTTTATGGAACTTAAAGAGGTAGGGCACATATCATTATGGAGCTAAAGCATACCTAAATATAACGCTAAATTGAGAAGAAACTAATTGGGAAATAAAACCAATAATTATGAATATTTCTCTGAGCTATCAGGGCAAGTGCATGATATTTACTACTAATTCTCATCAGCTTTATGCAGTTGATGAATTACTTATAGCTATAGCATGGAGCACATACATATACTACTACCACCAAAACAGAAGCATTTTTTTCTTAGTAGAGCCATTCTGCTTTCAATGATATCTGACTCAACCAACTTCTGCATCTCCAGAAGCTCACATTTCCTATCCCAATTAAAATTCCAATAAAACAATTGATATTGAACAGAATGAAGACTAATCAGATTGCTATTTAACTGAAAGTAAAATCACTCAATCACTAATATGCGTTTTAAAATTTCTTGTATAAAAGCACTGAATAAAGAAACAACTGAGAGAAAAGAATAATTGAAGCTCAGGGCTGAACTGTGAAGTCCTCGGTGCTCTCTGAGTTTGGCTGTTTTCTGGCAGACATTTCATTACCAAACAAGGTAACATCATCAGTGTATAAAGAGATTTTTACACAGAGGAAAAGAAAAAAAACAGACTCCTTTATCGAAATGTTTTTAAGTAATAGCAAAATTGAGATCAACATTCCACAAATAAATTTCTTGTGGAAACGTTAAGGACTTGATCACTGTATAGTGAAAGTAAGATTTCAGAACAAGCAACCATTATTTGCCATTCTATTTATTTAAGACTTGAAGAATTAATGCAAAGATATTTCATGGAAAAACATATAAGGAGAAATATCAGTAGCCGACCATTTAATTATAGCAATAGAGGAATGAGAATGAGAAGAACTAAACACATTATATTCAGATTTCATATATTAATTCTATTAATATCACAAAGAATAAAGCTTCCTAAAATCACTAATTTGGGAAAAGGAGGAGGAGAAGAGATTATTACAGGATACAAGAAATCCACAACCAAGAACTAAGGGCACAGATTACAGTAATGTGCTCTCCTCAAGTCCTGGAGATGGTGGGAAAATATGCCAATGTAAATTGCACTCACCCAGAAATTGGAGCAGTGTGTAGTGGTTTCTTGCAATTTTGATGAGTAAAGTTAAGTGGTGGTATTCTTGCAATTTTGATGAGTAAATTTAAGAAAAGTAAGATTGATGGATTTCCCTGGTTTTGTTTCCCATTGCACTGAGCATTACCCTCTGGTAGGAAAAACTGCTATTAAAAGTTTGATGGGGTAGGGTGGGGTGCAGAACTGTTCAGAACCTTTAATCTGCAGTCAGGAAATTTCTAAATATGAGTCTATCACTCTTTTGAAGCAGCACTAAACCGATCAGTTGATAGGTCACAGGTGCAGAGGAGAAGTAGAAGATGAAGTGGAAGAACCCTCTCTTAACACATTGGGAAATGGAGGCTTAGAGAAATTAAATGAAAATGGCACAATGAGCTTTAACATAATTTAGTGCAAAATTATGGCTGCAATTTAGGAAACAAAATCAAATGCACAGAGATAGCCTGTAGCTTGGTAATAGTAGATTTGAAGAAAAGTTTGAATAGAATCTTGTTTTGATATTTATATATTTCAGTATTAGAGATTGGACAACCATTTGTTTGAAATGGTATAGAGTTTCCTGCTTGAGTAGGGGATAGGATTAGAAGACCTCCAAGTGCCTTCCAACTCTCTGTTATTCAATATTACTTTGACATCAAGCTTTGATGCAGAGGTTAAAGGTAATGAGCTAAAAGCTAGGAGACTGTGAGTTCTAGTCCTGCCATAAATGTGATATGTTGACTTTTGATAGTTACTGTCTCAACCCTAAGGAAAAGGCAACAATGGCAAAGCACTTCTTGAAAATGTCCAGAAAACATCATGAACTTACCCATGTGGACACCAGCCATTTAGACTAACTCAAAGTTGGATAGATACAGTAGATGATAGATGGATAGATGGATAGATAGATAGATAGATAGATAGATAGATAGATAGATAGATGATAGATAGATATAAATGATAGCACATACTGTACATAAGTAGACATAGACAAAGATAGATGATAGAAGATAAAGAGGAACAATAATATGATACCAATGCAAGAATACATTCAATTACAGTACAAAAACCCATCATTCTAAAACACCATATCATTCATCTTTCACAAAGAGCCATAGTTGACCAGTCTCTAAAATAGGCATGTTTTAACAGGCTTTGGGAAAGCCATAATAATGGAAGTGAATGCTCACTTAGGGCAAGGAGTGGAAAAGGAGAACTTTTCAGAAGAACAGAATCCACCCAGAGAATGCTTTTTCATCTCTGATAGATGGAGAGCTTCAGCAGTCATATGGAATTTATCTCAATTTCATGGATACCAAGGTGCTTAGTTGTATAGGTGATAATCGTAATTTGAATTACAACAGTAGAAAATGCAGTAAGGAAGCTCTCCCATAAACAGAAAGACCAGCACTTGTTGATCTAGTTGAAGTTTATGTGTGTGTTTTATGAGCAGTTCCAAGCAAAGTATATTAGATTGATCCAAATGACAGATGACAAGCGCATGAATAAACCTCTTCAGGGCCTTCTGTACAGTTGGGCAAAGGCCTTCTTGGCCATGGTCAAGAATCTATATGGGGCCAACTCCTTTCACAGTTAAATTTGATACTGTCCCCAAATTACCAGACTTCTAAATTAAGTCATTCTATCTTGCTTGGATTGAGCTTGTTTCATGCCATCCAGACACTGCCAGATTCTAAACACCAACTCTGAATTTCCATTATGTTCTACAGTAAATTAACAAGTGAATACTATATTCAAATTGATAGTATGATACGGGTGCAAAAGAAAAAAAAGGGGGGGCATATGGTTTTAGATTGTGTTAATAAAAACATGATTTCCAACTCATGGGAAATCATTTTGACATCTTTAGTCAGATCTTTAAGAAAGATTTAGAGAAACTGGAGGAAGTTCAGAGAAGTGTAGTGAGAATAATAATGGAATAAGAAAAGTAAGTCCTAGGAAGTTAAACTGAGAGAAATGAATGTGCTAAGAGAAAAGAATAGGCTAAGAGGGTGGAATATGATTGTATCTGAACAAATAACGCACAAAAGAGAGTTAAACGTGTTTTCTATTGTCCCTGGGTATAAGATCTAGAATAATGGACCTAAATTTGCAGAAAGCATATTACATGTACAAGCCCATTCCAATTCCTACTAATAAAAAGAGATGATTAGCTCTCCTTTGTTGGACATGTTCAAGTAGAGACCAGCAAACAATCTGTTGGGATTGTTATAATTTGATTTCCTGTTCTTATCAGCAAATTGGATTGAAGACCATGTATGAATTCTTTGTCTTTGTAATTCTATATTCTATATATGACAATAATAAAAAGATCTAAGAATAAAATACTTTCACTAGTGGAAAGAATTTATGATAAGATAAAAATTAAACAAAATTAAACAAAATTTTCAGATAGAAGCCTACAAATAGTAATAATTGACATTTTAAGAAAGTACTAACATTAATAGGTAGTAGCAACAATTTCACTCCACTTTTGTAATGTGTGTACGTAGACATATCATGAGGGAAATGGAACTAAATCAGTTCTATTGAAGTCAGTGGGATTTATTCCTGAGTGAACATAATTAAGGTTGTTCTGTGAAATTTGGAGTGAGAAAATGTACTTATAGTAGTGGCCAAAATTGTGGAAACCTTTTGGGAAAAGTGTATTTTTGAAGTTTGATGGCTAATAACACCACTTTTTTTTTTTTTTTTTGAGTTTCAAGATAATCATATTCCACTGCTGGAATGGTGTGGGAATAGCCCAGACCTTAACCCAATTGAAAATCTATGGAGCCGACTAAAGAAGCTTGTTAGTCAGAAGTGACCCAGCAATAAAACCCAGTTAATAGAAGCAATCTTTCAATCTTGGTTTTACATTATAACAGCTACAGAACTAAAAGACTTGGTTCACTCCATGGGAAAACTTTGTAAGGCCCAGTGGTGGGTTCCTCCCGGTTCCGCCCGGTTCTGCCAAGCCGGTAGCGGTGACGATATGACACTTTTCCCAAAAGGTTTCCACAATTTTGGCCACTACTGTAGTAACCTATACTCAAACTTTTTCAGGAGGAAAACAAAGTCAGAGGAATGCTGTGCTATAAACCACAGAGGTTACTAGCTCCATATATAATGTAGCTAGAAACTACTTTGGTGGAATGGAGAAGGGGGGAAAAGAGGAGGGAGCAATTAATGAAAGAGGGAAGGAGCTGATGCTACTTTTGTCATTCTGAGGACAGCATTAAGCTCCTCTAGATGAACATGTCCTACTTGTTTCTATTTTTTCTTAAAATAAATTTAATCACATGTTCCACTTTGGTCCATGTTACCATTAAATAAAAGCAATGCACTTTCAATTTTATGTAAACATATGCAGGATTTAAAAGTACTAGGAGAATATAATTCTGCTTCCTGACCCTTTGTTTTTAAAAGACATTTTATTAGGCAATTATGTATTGCTCCATGGCTTCAGCTCTTAAAGTAAAAGGATTTCTGGGCAGTTTTGATTGTTTCTTGCTGTTTCTTGCTTTATGTTGTTGTGCATTATGGGAAAAATATCTTAAAATTGTTTTGTACTTTACAGATTGGGTTACTGGAAAATCATTATCTACTTAGACATAAGAACCACCCTAGAAGATCTCGACGAAGTGCTTCTCATATCACTAGACAACTGACAGATGATGATCGTGTAAGTAGTACATGTATGCTTTATAGTCTTTCTTAGATGGTAATTCTAAAGCCAATTCTAAGTGAGTAAATCTTTCTCAATATAGAAACTTTCACCTCCAAATAACTATATGTGAGATTGCCTGCCAGTTTGCTATCGTCACCAATTCTGTGGAAATGATGTGATATAATCCTTCAATAATTGAAGAATTTCTGATGATTATTATATGTAGATTTCATATTTTTTATCCAAAGATCTTAAAATATGTGTATATAGTTTCCTGTTTTGACCCTGAGATTGATCACATCTTAGTCTAGACCACATTGGGACATTATATTTGAAAAGTGACACCTTAAAATGAAGAAATTGTAATTGTTGGCTTTAAGAGCACTGCAACCACATGAAATTCCAAAAGGCACAATCATGTAGAAAGAGGGCATTCTTCATTTACAAATTTGCTCGTATTTACTTCTGGATCTCTTGTTTTACATGAATATCTCTGGAAACTGACATCAAAAGCATATCTTGTGCTTACTATTCAAATCCTTATAATTTAGGAATTAGGAAGTTTGCAAACATGTCACAAATGTTTCACAGATGAACAACGACCCCTATTTTCAAAGTTGCTATTGATATAAGTCCAGCAAACTTCAAAAGGGTTCAATTAAAGATTAAAAAGGAATTTTAAAAAGTGTCTCCTTAATAGCTTCATCCTGCAAACGAAACAAACAAAATGTTTAAGAGTTATGATATTTATTGTTAAATATGGAAATGAGGAGGGACACCTGAAGCTAAGGTTTCCCTCTGGTCCATCCGAATAGTGGGAGGACCAGAAGTTTAAATTGATTGGCTCCCGCGATTTGGAGGGAAATTTAAGGGAGCTGAGTAGCTGAGCTGTCAGACAGCTCCCCTTTAAAGGGAGCTTCCCAATGGCTCAGTCTTGGTCTGTTACTGAACAAGCCTGAAATAAACAAGTTGTTATCGAGCTGGGAGTCCTGTCTCATTCTTGACCCACGCTTAACATTTATGTAGTTACTTACCAAGCACATCTAAATTATATTACAGTAACCAAAATATCTTTACAATCCCCAAGGCATGTCATAACTTTTGAGCATCCCAAATGTTTGGAAATTGAAAGTTGACAAATTTGACACACCCTAATTGTTGCATTCCTATTCATCTAACAATAAATTTGTTTCTACAGTACGTGCAATAACATGATATGCAGTAATTAACTGGAAAAACATCAATTGAAAATACATGTTTCAGAATGAATACCTTCAAAAAAGAAGCCATAAAACCTGGTTTACAGGTTTTTCACATATCTGGAGTAGGGAGTATTTGCATTACAGTGAGTCAGAAGGCAATGTTATTGAATGCCCACTATGGTTTCTTGCTCTATGGGATATTGCCATCTGTATTCATTCAAAAGGTGTCCAAAATCTAGAAAATTAGTTTCACAGTGCTAAATTCAAAAGCAAAGAGTTACCAAACAAGCACCGTTTTTTCTAAGTGTAAAGCCTTCTTTAAGTCAAGCTTGACTCTTGATTCTTAAATGCCACGCTCTTATGGAAATAATTGCTTTAGAATCTGAGAATTTGCCACAGTAATTTCTGCTTTGACTGGGCTGAAAAACTATACAAAATGAGTGCCAATTAAAAATGTCAAGCCACCATTGATATGTACTGTAAGTATGTCAGTGAAATCATTAAGATGCATTATGTCTTATTCTTGCCCCTAAATTTTCTTTGCTGTATCTCTAATCACTGGGTTCCTAATGAGTTGTATCATTTATTTTGTAGAAAACACGTTTTCAATCATGTGAAGCATTTTTGTACTGCACGAGATGTCTTAGATCATCATTGGCGTTTAAATTCCTCACTGTTCTTGAGATTTCTTGACGATTCTGCTGCATTTAATTCATAATTGGAAACATCACGTGAATGATAGTCCTACTCTAGAAAAATAATCATGTGCCAAGCCAAGCCCATTTGAAGCCATGTTATGTCCTCATGAAAATAGTTTAGCTAATGCAATTATTCTTGTTCTTTAATGCAATTAGAGATATGGCTCTGTGCTTTTCTACTTCATCTTATTTTTTTTTAAAAAAAAATATCTTTCATCTTTGTCTTGCTTGGGATTTAAAACTAAGGCTTCAAATTTCAGGCAAGAGTTGTGCTGAGGTATATATCTTATTTGACCTTGCTAAAACTTGAAATGCTGCCTAAGCAACATTTCAGGCGGAAGAGTGAGTGGGGTTTGATTCCTACCATCACAGCAGCAACAGCTAAAGGCCTGAATGAGAAAATCTTTCCTAGGTAGAAGTGTTAAGACTGATCCTAGAAAGAGACAGAGTGAGGTAGCAGTTGCTTTGCATGTCAGTAGCTGCAGGATAGGTGAGGAAAAAGTAATTGCTAGGAATTAGGGGATATTGCTGGATAGTCAAAACTACACTGTATCCTTAAACCAGCTTGCTGCCTTTAGGAAATATGATCTGATGAACAATATGATCATTTTCTGCACATGGACTGAAGAGATACTATCTTATCCTTCATCTTGATAGACTTGAACTGGGGGAAACCAGTGACTGTGAGAGGGATCTTGGAGTTTTAGTGGACAATCAGCTAAATATGAGTCAGCAGTGTGCAGCGGCAGCTAAAAAAGCCAATGCAATCCTAAATTGCATTAACAGGGATACAATCAAGATCAAGTGAGGTACTAATACCAATCTATAAAGCCCTAGTAAGACCACGCCTAGAGTACTGCATCCAGTTTTGGTCACCACATTATAAAAAAGATGCTGAGATTCTAGAAAAAGTGCAGAGGAGAGCAACCAGGATGATTAGGGGACTGGAGACTAAACCATATGAAGAACGGTTGCAGGAACTATGCATGGCTAGTCTAGTGAAGAGAAGGACCAGGGGAGACATTATAGCCGTCTTCCAATATTTGAGAGGCTGCCACAGAGAGGAGGGGGTCAAGCTGTTTTCCAAAGCACCTGAAGGGCAGACAAGGAATAATGGATGGAAACTGACCAAGGAGAGATTCAACCTAGAAATGAGGAGGAACTTTCTGACAGTAAGAACAATCAACCAATGGAACAGTTCAGAAGTTGTGGGAACTTCATCAGTTGAGACTTTCAAGAAAAGATTGGACTGCCATTTGTCAGAAATGGTGTATGGTCTCCTGCTTGAGCAGGGGGTTGGACTAGATGACCTATAAGGTCCCTCCAACTCTTTTAATCTGTTAAAATCTTGGATAGCAAAAGCCATGGGAGAGAGGCAGAGAGTCCAGATTAGATTTCTGGTCCATGTTGTAAGCATACCAAATTTGTATTCCAAACAATGTTATTACAAAAAGCATACTTCCCATGACAAAATTCTTGACAAAGGGAAATCCCATGGATTGTACATACATAATACATATATTTTATAATAAAAACAAGGCAGATTAAAAATAAGACAGTATCATTCATTTTTATTCTTGGATTATGGATCATCATTGTTGGATCAAAGATACTGCCTTCTTGTCAGGCTTTTATTATCCTTTTAAAATTAAAGATCAAGGGCTGGATTATAAAAATGGAATTTGATTTCCCAAAATAATAAAGGAAGACCGATAATAAATTAGCAGTATAATTTTAAAAATCTGTCAGTAAATAGTATACAGACATGTTCCACTTTTGGACTGTAGTATCTTTCTCATTTATGTACTTATTCTATTTTAGTTATGACCTTATAGTAAGAATTTACTAAATGTGACTTGTTTGCAATCACCATGCAGTCACAGTGTCATGCTGATAACATGTCAACTGCAAAGAACAACTCTGCTTCTAGTATCTGTTTTACAACTGCAGTTGTTTCCTCACTCATAGGGCAGAAGCCAAACAGGTGCTCACAGTGAGAAAAAACAACCAATGTTCAACTGCCTAGGCAAATTTCATGACACGCTCCTAAGTATAAGGAAGATATGTTCTGCAAACCCCAGCAATTGGTTAGACACTCAGGGGTAAGACATTTTTGTTGCCCCAGATTGAAGGAGCATGAAGGAGATTGATGCCTCAAAATTATGGAACACAGAATATTTATGGTTGAGGGGGTAATCAATTTAAAAAACAAAAACTTGAGAAATACATCTCCTCAACCAACCCTTCTATCCCTGGCAAAGAGCATCCAATACTATTTAATAAACGCAGTAATCGTTAACTATTTGTTGTTTTTTCACGATATCAAAAATCTGCTATCTAGGCAGCTTCTTTTCTTAATGTTGTGGTCTCAAAATCATCCATCATAGTTAAATTCATAGAACATCCTGAATAAGGCCACACGTGCTCTTAGGACATGAGTGGAGAAGATCTCACAAAGTAACAACAAAAAGAGGAATTAGCATTTGTCACTCAAATGGAAACAGATGAAATACCAGCCTGTCTTATGCAAAAAGTCTTATAAAAACATACCGTAGGTATTTAACACTGCTAACAAGTACAAACTACTACAAAAAGAGGGAAATGTCTTAACTGTTTTATCAGACATGTGCGCAAGACAGACTTAGACTTAGAAGACTTAGATTTAGAATAACTTCATTGTCACTTTAAATGTACACTAATCGGCATACATTAAAACAAAATTTCGTTGCATACAGGTCTCAAAGGGTCACCACCGCCAATATACACTACATAAACATGACAAATATATAAATAAATAAATAAATATGCATATACCCACATATATTATATGACACAGAGAAATAACACAGTCTAGTTCAGATGTATATTTTGATTACATACATTAGCTTAAGAAAGCAATAATAAGCCATTGACATAGTCAAGAAAACATTACAGGCATCTATGGTGGGGAGGGGAGCAGGAGAGTGCAAGTCATTACAAATCCTGTGACTTATGTACTTGCATATGATGCTAGGATATAAGTAAAAAGACTTTGTTTTTGTTGCGATGTGACTGTATGTGTGTTGAGATTTTTTTTATCAGTGAAACTAGTAGTGGACACCTACAGTATGTGAAACATGCTTCTTTTGAGCTGAGTTTCTAGAAGATTTCCAGAGCATTTCTGACATTCTGTAGTATTTGAACTCATTTACTATGGACCAGAGGTTCATAGATTTCATATGTCTGTACATGAACTTAAAGAAATACTTTTGAGAAAGGCTCAATAGAAACCTCTCACAGAGCTGACATTGCATCGTTTGTTACTTCCAATTTTCCCTTTTTGACATATATGGGTATTGTAGTGATTTATATTTTTGGTCACAATAAATACTTATGGTATGGAAAATATAGGCTTTCACTCTTGGGTATAGAGTGAATATTTTTCACTCTAGGGTGAAGATGAAAGATGATCCATGGAATGGAACTAGTGTCATACTCTGACACAGAAGTATGGCCAGCAGTACTCTATGAGGTGTTCAGCCATCATTCACATCAATATATGAATATGCAGGTGCATTCACATGAAGACAAAAATTAGGACAAAGGCTTGTTTACCCATCCCATAGCATAGGGGTGTGCAACCTATGGCTCATGAGCCACATCCTTCCAGCATTACATGAGTGGACATAAAATTTTGAGAGTCATATTTTTCCAGTGAGGGAGGTAGGGATTCTAAGAATTGGCTATTTTGTCCCTTAAACACCCCAAATTTTAAGACTCTCCAAAAGGGTCTTAAAATTTAGACTCACCCATTTTGTAATATCAATGGCCTTGCTCCATATGGTGATTAGGAAGAGCATCTATCTGCATCTTTATTCTGCCATTCTTCCATGATAATATCTTCATCTTGTCCATAGCTAAGAGATCAGACAATCTTAAGCTGTTCTTAGTAGTAACAATAATAAAATCAGCATCTGCTGTTTTAAGGAAAGACCGTCATTCTAGAAATGGTGCTCTGAGTTCCTTAGAAAACCTGTGGGTTATACATGGAATAAACAAGACTTCAGTGCATTTATAGACACAAGGACATCCAGTATTTTCTTATCTAGCTATTTCTTTATCTATCTGATGCTATTTTAGGTAACTTGGGCAGAACAACAGTATGAAAAAAAGCGAATTAAGCGTTTTGAATTTGGAGACTCAGCAGAAAATCTATTCAATGATCCAATGTGGAGCCAACAATGGTACCTGGTAAGAATTTGAATCTACATGTAGAACATATATGTCTGAAGAATCTTTTACTATTGCTTCATTAGTGTACTAAACCATTTGGGAAAGCATTCAAAGTATGATAATAGAAGTTGGCTTTTAGGTTATAAACTATGATATATACAATCATCTGCAGCATGTTTTATGATTTTGAGATGAAAACTGTACGGTCACAAAACTATTCTCTAGTGGACAAATTCTCTTACTGAATTTGCCCAAATATAATATATTAATGTTTGAGATGATTAGCACTTGTGAAAAAGAGCACAAGCTTTATAAAATTCAGTGGGGATGATAAGTACCTCAAATGAAAAGAAACGAAGGACATGATGAAGTGATGTCATTTTTTAATCCATCAGTCACAATGTGACTCAGCCCCTTTTTACTAACAAATAATAATTATAAGAGAAGATGATTCTAAGAGATTGAAATTGGTAATAAAATCTCTCCCATCTTGTGCTCTCTTGATTTAAGATTTCATTTCTTATAATCTTCGATACTAGCCAAAAGAATTTGGGTAAAGCTAGTCTGTACAGTACTACTATGCAATTGTATAAATGTTTCCACTGAACTCAAATCAAATATAATATAATACATTTTATAAACCATAATTTTTTCAATGTGCCATGCAATTCATATGAACTGACACAAAATTTCAGTAAAGGAGAGGCTGTTTTTTCAGCAATACTAACTAGATAAACAGTGGCAAATTTAATAAATAAAATAAAATAGTGTATCTCTGCAAGCAATATTTAAAAGTAGCTTTTCTTGATGTAATATTAAATAAACAAAAGCTATGCAGGAGCAAGTGTGCATTCATTCATTCATTCATTCATTCATTCAAAGAGACTTGGTTGCAGCATATGTAAGAAAACTAATCAATGTTTACAATGTATTATAGGCAAAACAACTTAATAACATTTGCACAATGCATAAATAAATTGTCTTTTGTTTCTCCTAGCAAGATACAAGAATCAACCGATCTTTGCGCAAATTGGATCTCCATGTCCTTCCAGTCTGGCAAAAGGGCATCACAGGCAAAGGAGTTGTCATAACAGTGCTTGATGATGGCTTGGAGTGGAATCACACAGACATTTACTTTAACTATGTGAGTTTAATATTTCAGTAGTAATCATTATTTTTTCATTTCCAATTTCATGATTAGATTCTTGGAGTTTAAAAATATTCCTTTTCAATAATAAACATGATTGGGTGCCTTCGAGTGAATTCTTTGTCAGCTTAATCTGTAGATTCTGGGGAGAATTCAAAAGAGTTAAAAATCACATGCTGTATGATGATTGGGTAGAGAAATTCAAATATGACAACTCAATAAAACATGAGCTATTATTGACTTTAAAAAATGAGAGAACACTGCTATTGCAAGGATGAAATTCAAAATTATTCCCTACCAGTTCTGTGGGCGTGGCTTAGTGGCCGTGATGTGGCTTGGTGGGCATGGCTTGGTGAGCGTGACAGAGGAAGGATACTGCAAAATCCCCATTCCCTCCCCACTCCTGGGGAAAGGCTATTGCAAAATCTCCATTCCCACCCCCCTTTGGGGCCAGCCAGAGGTGGTATTTGCCGGTTCTCCAAACTACTCAAAATTTCCGTTACCGGTTCTCCAGAACCTGTCAGAACCTGCTGAATTTCACCCCTGTGCTATTGATACCAATTAATGGGGAAACAAGGGTGTTATGTGCAATTGTTGGCATCCCAGAGAGACATTGTGTTGACCACTGAAGAAACAAAAAGAAGGACTAGATAAGTTTCCATTCTGGATTGCTATGATTCTTCTTATATTCCTATCTCTGTTGCTTCACCTATTGGTTTATAGTTGTTACAGTTATATTCTTGATTAACATTTAGGATCCTGACGCAAGTTATGATTTCAATGACAATGATCACGATCCATTTCCCAGATATGATCCTACAAATGAAAATAAGTGAGTAACTACCTACTTTAATATGCTCTTTCATATATATTGCTAGTTGTTTCTGGAATTACTGGGTGATTTTCAATGATATTCACTATCACTTTATATTATCTGCCTGCACTAAATTTGAAGAACCGTAGCAGACAAAACTAATTAAAGACCACAAAGTTGTTATTGTCATCCTTAGCTGCAAAGCCTAGAAACATCGTATTTATATACTGATGGGACATGAATTCTTTCTTTCTTTTTATGATTTCCCCTTGCTCAGGATTGCACTCTAACATATTTCTGTTTGCTAGATGAAGGGAGATAGGTACAGTATCTATATTAATTTTCCATATTCTCACTACAGTGGGACAAGATCTCTTGCTTTATCTAGTTTTGTCTTGATATAGATGTGATTTGTGAAAATATCCATTACTGCTAGTAGTCCTAATGTTGAATAGGTAGTTTCATGAATACCAAATTAATTTTCAAATGTCATTTATGCAGTCAAGCCTACATTTTGAGATTCTATTATTAAAGTGCATGGCACTTCATTATACAGATGACTAATTTGAACCAGTCAGGTTTTTTTTCAAAAGTTGGTATGATTTAAATGAAACAATATGATAAATCAACTGTACACACACACACATTCCCATTTCCAACTGATAACACAATCCCAACAACTCCCTAAATTAATTGCATATGGTAAAAATGGATAGGCTTCAATTGTGTGATCAATTTGTTTTACTGTCTTTTTTGATCACTATCATGGACACTCCTGAAATAAAATTTGTGAGACAAATACAGATTTAGCTGGGAGTAAGCAACCTGAATAGAATGAGGATTTAGTTATGGTCTGTGTTGGTTTGAGAAGCAGAGGATCAGGCCACCCGGTTCACTTTAAGTGAATATCATAAATATGTAATACTTCCCAAGACAATTAGGAGAGGATGTCATTTTTGTTATGATGCATTATGGTTCACCAACATCTATTTAAGGCAAATAATATTGAATTCCTTATGGAGATTCTATGGTAACAGAAAAAAATATTGTGACAGTGAAAGATTTTCAGAAGATGAATATTTCCAGGTTTGATAAAATGTATCACTCTGCTTAGCTGGAGCAGTTATTGGCAATAATTAACCATTATCCACTGATTTAAATTATCTCAAATCTGCCATCTCTGCATAATAACTACTCTTTCTGATATATGTAAATGGAATTCAAACTAGCAGCATTCAACAGCTTCAGTGCATACCAAACTGTGCTATTAAATAAGGCAGCTTTTCACAAGTGGACTATCATTTGATGCAGTGAAGGTGAAGAGTTTCTGGATGGTGGAATAGAAAATATTGTACTGTTTAGTCTCTGAAAATTAAAAGGACAGACTTAAATCTAATCATCCCCTTAATAGATAACTTGATATCTGATATTCATTAAGGCTATAAATTTTCCTTGGTCTCTTGAACATTGCATTTATTCTTGAAATTAATTCATGAAATCATCAAAATGTGTTGGGAAAACAATAGGCATGCTCACTGAAGAATTCTTATAGATCCAACACATCAGAATGATATCAGCTTGACTAATGTTGTTCTGTGTTCTATAACCACTCATGATTATTTCATATTTCATTCATATTTTAATGAGGGTAGATTACTTGCTTATCCCCAACTTGCCAACTTTGTGTAGTAGTAGAACAGTAGACAATAGATCCAAGATGACTGGGTTGGTTGTGCATTGACCATTTTTTCAGTCAATGCAACAAACTGAACTCTGACAAATGCTGATTTTTCAGTCAGTGCAACCTCTCAGTCAGAGGGTATCATTGGTATTAGTGATAATGTTTAGGGGGGAAAAATCAAAAAAAAAAAATTCACAGTGATACAGAACAGACAGAATCAGGGTAGCCTCATCTCACCAACCTTCTTTGTCCTTTTTTTAACCACCAACATTGCAGTTATAGCAGGTGAGTAAAAAGAAAACAGAAAGTTTTCCTAGAGAAATCTCATTGTTTTGGAATCACTCCAGAATTTTGTTTGTTTCAAAACTGGTTAATTCTTCAATAAAATTACAAGGTTGAGTAGGGGAAATGGTGCCTAGTTTAGACTCAAACAAACTCATATCTATTTTGTGATAAAAGTATTCCCTCCCACACATAAGGATACATATTTCTCAGGAAGGTTAATTAAGTAGAGATGGGCATATTAACTTAATAAACTACATTGTGGTATTCATGTAACCCTCTAATCTTCTCCTATGACTTTGTTAATCATGATGTGCAAACAGGGCTATGTAATCTAGTTGCTTTTGGCTCCATCCGAATTTCATATATTCAAATGAATAATAATTACATAATAAGATTTGAAGATGACCCATCTAAAGCTGATTTTGTTGCAGACATGGTACACGATGTGCAGGAGAGATTGCCATGCAAGCAAACAATCTAAAATGTGGAGTTGGAGTAGCATACAATTCCAAAGTTGGAGGTAAGAAATATTAACAGTAATTCTATTTTAACAGTCTGTTTCTTTGCTGGAGTACCCAGAAATCTGTTTGAAATGCTACTGGAGAGGTACTGAACAAAGGAATATTAAATTGAATAGCAGTGATAGAAGAGATGATGGTACGCTTTCTGTTTCTATTATGCATTCTGATCATACAAAAGATTGAAGGGGTTATTCATTGCTGCAGTCTAATGAATTTCAACAGAACACTGAAAATAATACTTTCATTAAGTACCATAATCCCTGAGCATCAGTGGCTGATTAGATTGCTACTATATACTTATTCATGTGGCCTACAAATATGGGCTGAAATTCAGTTATTTAATATTTTTGTCATGTTGACGTAAACATGTCATGGCCTCAACTATGCATTCAAACTGCTATTATCACATTCAAATCTAACAACTTTCAAGACATAGATTTAGTTTTCCTTTAACTCTGATAAAAAAAAAAGCTTCTAGTTTTCTAAATTCTAAATGGGAGTTACTAATATACTATTAGTTTGGAGAGGAAGAGAGTTTCTTCAGAAATTAGAGGAAAGTCAACAAAATAACTAACTCAACAAGAGTATTTATGTATGCTTGTATGTATGTATCCATTAGTTAATTTATGCTAGTGTAAATTTTTAAAAGCTCTATAAGTAATCCCCTCATTGTACTGTTTTTATTTTGCTTTTCAAATAAATATATGTTATATATACTGTACCTCATCACAAAAAAATAAAACCTCTAAAGCAGTGTTTCTCAATCTTAAAAATCTTATGTATGGACCAATATGCAGAATTTCTCAGCTAGCATGCTGGGAGTTGAAGTCCACATGTCTTAACTTTGCCAAAATCCACTGCTCTAAAATGAAGACCATTTTCTCATCAGTCAAATTTTCAAACAGTTCCATCATTAAATAGTCTTTTGGCAAAGATAAGGTCTTTCATATTAATATATTTCATATTAAAGTTGTACATAGACCTTTTGGTGATTAACAGAAGCAGGGATGCAGTTTAGCCTTGTGGGGTGGAGATGAGGGGAGGCACCTGATCTTTGTAAGAATGACCAGAAAATGGAAACCAACCATAGGATACTATAGAAAAATATGCTGGGTGCCACACTGACTTTTCCTCTACTACCTGCTACCATCCGTCCTGTTTCTTTGCTGGTATAAAGTGATCAAATAGCATATTTTCAAATCTGATTTTGTTTTCCTAATTCAGCTTTTTTGAAACAACTGGATCTCAAACCAGAGTCAAAAAGAATCTGCTACAGTGGATGTAAAAAGCCTATAGATCTCTTCTAAATTTTCTTACATCTCAAAAACCTGGCATTTTAAAAGGCATGTGTAGGCTTTTAATATCCACTGTACATATTGAATGACCTATATCCAATCCAGTCCTCTGTACTTAGGTCCTTGCAGTTTAGAAAAGTTTCCATTTTGACATGTCACAAGCACTGTTTTGTACTGGCCATTCAAAGAGAACACAAAATAATGGCTGATTAGGATTATCTCTCTCTCTCTCTCTCTCTCTCTCTCTCTCTCTCTCTCTCTCTCTCTCAATAAAAGGGATCAGAATGCTGGATGGCATAGTCACAGATGCCATTGAAGCTAGTTCAATTGGGTTCAATCCTGATCATGTGGATATTTACAGTGCCAGTTGGGGTCCAAATGACGATGGGAAAACTGTTGAGGGACCTGGCAGACTAGCCCAAAAGGCTTTTGAATATGGAATTAAAAAGGTAAGACTTCTTAACACAGAGCAAAAAAGCAGTTAGTACGTGCCAGAAAATGGGTTGTTTTTTATCATCACTCTCTCACACCTTGTTTTTCTTTTTTTCTTTGCTGACTTTTTTCTACTTGTTTTCCTTTGAATATTAATGAGATTTTATACAAAGAGCTCCTATAAAATATTAATAGAAATTGCCTACTTCCTGAATATTACATTATTATCTAGTACAGCATCAAAATGTGGTGCATTATTTTATAACAGAGTGCATAGCTCAATTAGTTATAATTAAGACGATGTGAATACTTGAGAAAAATAGCCTTCTTGTTGGTAGTTTAGATCCAGTTAAGGATGTAGGTTCATGAGCAATTTTTTAATGCTTTTTAATTCTAAAAACTAAGATAACATTTAAACCCACTTACTAAGCCTCTTGTATCTGCCTTGTTTTTTTCTGCAATTTGGCTTACCCAATTTTTCAAGATATTCTTTCATTAACTGTCCTTTCACCGTTTAGACAGAGCAATGTTTGGGGTTGATAATCTGATAGGAAGTGGATTTGCTGACAGATACATCCAACACTTGACTCAGCTCAAGTTCAATTTCACTGAAAGTGAAGGTATAAAACAATCAACAGTTAATTGTTTTTAATAATTATCTAATTATTAAAACAACTTGCACAACTGGGACATATTATTTCTAACCTTCTCATCCTTGAGAGTTGTTAGTACAACACAATGGAAGAAAACCAAATTGGGGACAACTGAATTCTGACAATTGTATCACTAACTTGGAATTTTATTTTGGAAAGAGAAAAGAGTTTTCCTCCACTGAGAATGAAGTCAAGAGATGATTGACCTGGAAATAAAATGAGTTTATCAAGTTTAAGGTCAATACTGGGGAATGCACCAGTTTTTTGTTTTTGTCAATCCCCTGCAATACAATCCCACTTAAAAAAAACTTAAATTAAGATTAAAAAAATAATTTTAGTGCAAAGAACAAATAGCACTTGCCAACTGCCACCATAATAATGCTTCCATGAAGAAGTCACTGGCCACTTGCTGCTTCTCCAAAATAGTATTTTATTTATTTTGGGGGCGGCGTTAGCTTGAGAAATGAGACAGGCAAGATATAGAGTCTTTTGAGGTAGAGTGTGGACTTTACTTTAAAATCAATGTTTTTCAAGAGGGGAAGTACCCAGTCCAAACTGAGGATTGTCTAATTGTGCATTTTTGTAACACAAAATTATTGGATAAAGGCCATGTGGGTTCAGATAATCTGCTATACTAGGCTATTATAATTTGGTGTGGTTGTGGTTCAGTTTTGCTATTACAGGGAATCCTGATACAGTTTAGCAAGCTGCATGAACCAAACTATCATGGCCATCAAATTAACCCTATGTTTTTATTTTATTTAAGCATTAAAATGAGGGAGCGGTGGCTTAGCAGTTAAAGCAGTTAAAGATCCTTATCTTGTCAGCCGGAAAGCTGACAGTCGGGATTCAAGACCCAAGAATTGAATTATGGGGTGAGCTCCCATTACTTGCCCCAGCTCCTGCCCACTTAGCTGTTTGAAAACATACAAATGCGAGTAGATACCATATTTTTTGGAGTATAAGATGCACCCCTAAAAGAAGGTAAACATTTGCGTGCATCTTATACACCGAATGTAGCCCTGCCCAGCCTCTCAGAGGTTTCAGTGGCTGGAAAAAAAACCTCTCAAATGGAGGTTTCAGAGGCTAGAAAAAAAGGATCTCAAACGAAGGTTTCAGAGGCTGAAAAAGCAAGACGCAGAGCTTACCTGTTGCTAAAGTTCACCTCTGGGAACAGCTGATTGGGGGTATTCGGGAAGGCCAATCCACCCACCAATCAGTTTTTTTCTTACCCAACCTAAGCTATGCAAATTTAGCCTATCTTCTTGCATCACCCTTTTTTCTTTCTACTGCCTTTTATTTCTCTTTTGCTGTCATTCTCTTCTTTCTCTCCTTCGCTGTTTTCCCTGCTCTCTTTATTATTTCCTTTTTAGTCTTTGGAGAAAATCATTCTCCTACTTTCTCTTTTTCTCAGCCTGTTCATCCGTAATTTTTGAAGATTCATTCAGTACACAGACGCTTTAAATCCTTTACTGTATATACATGAGGAATACCATGGGACATCAAAATGACACACCAGCATGCCATAAACTCTACCCTTTTTATACTCCCTGGTAACATCATGACACACATATGAAATAGAAGGTCTTGCACTGTGACAACACAATGGGTTCTTCATCATTTTGAGCCTCTTGCTCCATCACTACAGACACAGCTGTCCTGATTCATTTCTGGATTTTGAATTTTCCCTATGAAGTCAAGAGAGGGATACACAGACTATAAAGAGTACAATTCTTCATCCTTGCTTTTCTCCCAGCATAGCTACATTTGACAGAAATTATACATTGTGCAAAGTAAAGCAAATAAGGAGTCATATTTTCCTAATGAGAATTATTAACATTTTCTACATGAACAATTCAAGAAAAAGGTTCTTTTATTACCACTGCTATACTTGTTATAGTCTATGAACTATCTCTTTAAAAATTCACCCAAGCATTTTAATAAATGAGACACTCTTATAGTGAATACACTTTCATTTATCTTTTTTTTAAAGTAGAAATTTCCTAACGAAATGTTAATAGTCTCCTAGCTCCAGCTTCACAGTATTTTTTTATTTTTAGATGGCCTTTTCTTTTTGCATATTCTCGTGTGGTGTATGTATATGTGATTTTGTTTATAACTCATCATTCAGAAAGGCAGCTAGTGATGAGCAGGAACAATTAATTTCTGATGTTAACAGAATAACAGTTGGAAGGGACCTTGGAGGTCTTCTAGTCTAACCCTCTACTCATGCAGGAAACCTATTATCATATTAGACAAATGGTTGTCCAATCTCTTCTTTAAAACCTTCAGTGCTGAAGCACCAAAAACTTCTGAAGGCAAGTTGTTCTACTGATTAATTGTTCTAAATGTCAGGAAATTTCTCCTTTCTAGGTTCTAGGTTGGTTCTCTCCTTCATTAGTTTCCATCTATTGCTTCTTGTCCTGCCTTCAGGTGCTTTGGAGAATAGGTTGACCCCCTCTTCTTTGTGGTAGCCCCTTAGATATAGGAACATTATTATTATGTCACCTTTAGTTCTTCTTTTCACTAGAGTAGACATATCCAATTCCTGCAATCGTTCTTCATGTTTTAGCCTTCAGTCCCCTAATAATCTTTGTTGCTCTTCATATGTTTTAGCTTTTAGTCCCCTAATCATTTTTCTAAAGTGTCTTTTACACTGTGGTGATGCAATATTCTAAGTGTGGTCTTACCAAGGCATTATAAAGTGGTACTAACACTTTACATGATCTTTATTTTGTCCCTCTGTTAATGAAGCCTAGGACTGCATTGGCTTTTTTAGCAGCTGTAGCACACTTCTGGCTCATATTTAAGTGGATTGTCCACTAGGACTCCAAGATCCCTCTCACAGTTAATACTATTGAGCCAGGTACCACTTACTTTTTTCACCATTGAATTTCATTTTATTAGATAGGGCCCAGTGTTCAAGTCTGTCAAGATCCTTCTGTATCTTGAGTCTATCTTCTGGAGTGTTGGCTATTCCTGGCAGCTTGGTGTCATCTGAAAATTTGATGAGTTCCCCTTCTATCCCCTCATCTAAATCATTGATGAAGATATTGAATAGTACTGTGCCTAAGGCAGAGCCTTGGGATACCCCACTGTGTATTTCCCTCCGTGTAGATGCAGTTCCATTAAGTACTACATGTTAATTACTGTTAATTACTGGAGAACCAAGAATTATGAAACAACAGGAAAATACAGAGTTAAAGACTTTACTACTTTGTTCTATGAAATGAACATGCACTAAAGCTTTAAAATGCTAGTGCACATGTATTGACTCTTGCTAGTCACATAGATCATCAGTCCCCAAGCTTTGCGGTTTGGCAGCCCAGGTGAGAGGGAGGAGAACTTGTGCAAGTTGAACTGTGCATGCATGTGTATGCCTGTTGACCTGCTGTTCTCACAAGTCAAGCTGCACATGTGCACGTGTGCACTGGCTGGCAGCTTGTGTGGCCCAGTCATGAATAGGCCACAGCCCAGTAGTGGGCTGTGACCTGGGGATTGGGGACCCTGACATAGATAATGCATTATCACCATTTCTGTTGCAATACAAAGATGTGCTAGAATCATTTGTCTTTTCTCTGAGCAATATTGCTTACTTTTCTTTTCTTTTCTTTTCTTTTTTTGGATTGGCAGATCATTGGTTAATATATTTTATATTCAAAGCAGCAAATGGCCATGAATTAAATAAGTACTGTAGTCAAAGCTTGAGCAGGATTTCGGTAGAGTTGTGAATATCTGAGGCCTATACATTAAGACTAGGAATAATCCTTTTAAAAGAAATTATCAACAAATAGTGAACACTCCATTTAATTATTCAGAGCTTTATTAAATGATTATATTGTGATGGGATAGATGCACCGTATGAAATATATATTAGTATTTCCCAGAATATTAATTTGTAATGCAGCAAATGTGCAGCTATTGTTTATTAGTTCCGTAATTCCTTCGATTCCTTAGGGAATATAGTTATGTTTCAAAGATTGTCAAGATATCAGCACGTTGTTGCTAGGAAAATAACAGCACTTTAACTTCTCAAGTATTGCATTTTAAAGAGTGAAAAATGATTGGCTTATTTCAAACAATATATGACTTCATGGATCATGAATTATTCTTCTCATAATAATATTTGCATGCCAAGTACTAGAAAGGGGGAATCTCAAACAAAAACAAACTTTTATCAGTGCAGTGAGTATTACCCCAAGCAGTGAACCATGAATCTTAACTTAGAAAAAAGTATTTGGACATCTGAAGTAGACCATCCCTAATTTTTTGGGGGGTATGAATTAGCCTGAACCCCACAACAAGTTTCTGAAAATAGTTCCTTCTATTTTGCACCATTAGATTATAATGCTCCTGCTTTGCCTATTAAAATGTATTGTCTATCCAGCAACAACTCTCTGAGACTGAACTATGAGGACAGCCAAAGACTGAGAAAGGCTAATTTTGTTGTTTTCTGTCCACTGATGATGCCATACTGTGTGAGCTCCTTATTGTATCCTTGTTCCCTTTATACCCTCAGCTTTCTGACTGAGATGTTAGCCCTTCAAACATTCCAGTCCATTATCTTATTTTTATCATTAGATCTTATCTTAGGATCTCTTTGGATAAATTAAGCTTTTATTCATGCAGAGAAAAGGTCCTTGCGTACATTGTTCTATGGCTGACCATTCCCTTTAGATCATTCAAAAACATTCTATGATATGTAGATCTACTGCTTACCTTTAAACCAATTAAATATATGGATCTGTCAAAATAACATATTAACTGTTATTTTGTTCCAACAAAACAAGGGAGCATCCTTACTCTGATTCTCATATTTAGGCTTACTCACAAAATGAGCATAAAATTACATCTGGGAGAAAGTGCACACATTTTTACTCACAATAATAAGAATAGAATAGAATAGAATTTTTTATTGGCCAAGTGTGACTGGATACACAAGGAATTTTTCTTGGTGCATATGCTCTCAGTGTACATAAAAGAAAAGATACATTTGTCAAGAATCATAATAACCTCTTTTCTTTCATTTCCTTTAGGGAAGAAAAGGGAAAGGTTCCCTTTTTGTCTGGGCTTCAGGGAATGGTGGCCGCCAAGGAGATAATTGTGACTGTGATGGTTACACAGACAGCATCTACACAATCTCAATCAGCAGTGCTTCACAGCAAGGCCATTCTCCTTGGTATGCAGAGAAGTGTTCCTCAACGTTGGCCACAGCATACAGCAGTGGGGACTATTCCGACCAGAAAATTGTAAGTTGTTTTTACCAGATTTAACCATTGTTGGGGGAGGGGGGGACAGCCACAAAGCAATTTGTAGAACAGGGATGGTAAAATCATGGAAACGAGCCTTAATGCTCTAGCAATCATAATTCAGGTATAGTGGCACTTTTATTCAGGATTAAACTTCATTTTTAAAGTAAGCTCCTGGAAAAAAATGTGGCTGATGATTGGTGACATTGAGAGATATTTTGGGAGGAGAGCTGCAGGAATTTTAAAAGATAAATTCCGTTTGTAAAGATTTGCAAGAAAAAGCCTTCAAAAGCACACCATAATCATATTGCTGAAATAACTCATAATCACCTTTTGTTCAAATGGGACTCCCTATTTCTTGCCTGCAAAAATAAGGCAAGTATAAAGGCAAAGCTAATATGCAAAGGACTGTCTCTTTCTGGAAAAAACATAAATTGGGTTGAATTTACTTTCAGTGCCAAGAATGAAAATTAGGAAGTTTGGGATGCCAGGTACCTTTGGGAAATGCAAAACAATTGCCTGGATTCATGAAAGGGCAGGGGAGATAATGATATGGGAAGTAACCATACTATTGATCTCTTGGTTGTCTCCCTTCCATCTGATCTCTTGGGTTGTCACTGAATCAAGATATGTGGAAAATGAAAGTGGATGTAACTTCTTTCCAATAAATTCTAGTGTTTTATTGGGAAAGTGAGATGAAAGGATAAAAATAACCAGTACAATTGATCAAAAATTCCAAAATGTTTCATCTAAGGTCTATAGACCCTGATACTTACTATTGTACATTCACATTTTCAAATTTCAATACTATACTTCCACATATTGGAATTTTGCAGGCAGTAATGTGAGGCACTTTTTCCAAGCAAAGCACTTCATTTTCTAATAAACCATCTGTTTCATTTTCCAAATTACAAGCGCTGTGCATTGTTAGACTGAGAAGAAGGGAAATAAAAGCATCTGCTATTAACTCATATGTGGTTTTTAATCTGGCAATCATTTTACAGTGATCCATTGTATGATTCAACAGTAATTCTGAAACACTTATTTTTATCTTAGTAGGATTTCATAATAAGATGAGTGCCTTTCATATAGCATTATGTTCATTCAAAATGAGCTATTTCAATTAAAAAATTGTAGGCAAAATGGACGGGGAGGGTTTTCAACATATGGAAGAGAACAACATGTTCCAAGGCAATCATGGAGAAGTATGCTTTTGTGCATGGACACAATTAACCTTTATATGATGTTCATTTCCTTCAGATAAGTGCGGATCTACACAATGAATGCACCGCCACTCATACGGGGACTTCTGCATCTGCTCCTTTAGCCGCAGGGATTTTTGCTCTAGCCCTAGAAGCAAAGTAAGCCTTCTTAAACTTCTTCCTACTTAAGAATGCTTGAAACTTTGATTTAATTCACATTTCAAGCAACTGGCCTGTTCCATATTGCCAGCATAAACATCTGCAGCAGAATAACAAAATATATTCAAACAGACCTGGAAATTTGAAGCAAAATTTTCTTCTTGGATATGTAGACCAGAAGGACCACAGATAAAATTGATATGGATTGTAAAGAGAATGATTAGTCTAATCCTATATTGTGATTATTGTGATTTTTTTCTTAATGTCCTTATGGAACTATTGCAGTTTCATTCTTTGAAACTTTTAAAAAATTCCCTTCAAAGAGGGCTTGAAAACAAGAATCAGAAAAACCACTAAAAAGTAGATAGTAGAGAACAGGAATTAAATCCAGCAGGTTCTGACAGGTTCTGAAGAACCGGTAGCAGAAAATTTGAGTAGTTTGGAGAACCGGCAAATATCACCTCTAGCTGGCCTCAGAGTGGGGTGGGAATGGAGATTTTGCAGTATCCTTCCCCTGCCATGCCACCAAGGCACGCCCATAGAACCAGTAGTAAAAAAAATTGGATTTCACCAATGGTAGAGAACAAATATAACACAATGAGAAATAGAATAGAACCAATAAATGAGAATATTTGTAACTCAGGTTTGAAATTAGATGTCCTTACTATTCTCTGAGTGTGTTTGTTGTCTTGCAGATGTTTCATTACCCAAATTGGTAACCAGCAGTGCTAGTGATGATGTTACTAGCACTGATGATGTTATCTACTTTGAGTAATAAAATGTCTGCAAGAAAACAACCAAACTCAGAGATCACCAAGGTCCACTCAAATAGAATAGAATAATAAATATTGTATAATAAGGTAACCCAATTAGCTGATCTATTTTCTCAGGAAAGAACAGAGTTCCTTTATCTCTAAGTAGTTTTCTACATTTTAGTATGAATCTTTCATGACATTAAAAACAAAATACTGTTGGAAATTCAATAGAGATGCTGATTACTGGGGCTTCTTAACTGAGCACTTATGCTCTAACTGACTCACTGGGGTGTGCTGGTTTATGGGCAAAGACCCCAATCCAATCTAGATCAAAGATGCCAATCTAGATCAAAATTGACTAGAATTTTGTTTGTAACAGTCCTAATCTAACCTGGAGGGATATGCAACATTTGGTAGTATGGACATCTGAATTTGATCCACTGGCCAACAATCCAGGATGGAAGAAGAACGGAGCTGGGCTGATGGTGAACAGCCGATTTGGATTTGGATTACTCAATGCTAAGGCACTGGTAGATTTGGCTGATCCCAAAAGCTGGAAAGGAGTGCCAGAGAAGAAAGAATGCATAGTTAAGGACAGTGACTTTCAGCCGAGGTAAGAACTGAGACTTTGGTATTTTGGCTTAGTTTTTAGATGAACTCTGATCCAGAAACATAAGGAAACCTGTAGCCTTCCCATATGACATTTTTTTCAACTGTCCCCAGTCGATTGCTTCCATCTGGCAAGTGCTTCTGCTATATAGTTCTGCAGTAAAAAGCCTTATAGACCTTTATTAAACCATCCTGAAACAGCAACAGTTATGAAAAGTGATAAAAAGCAGAGGAGTGAAATAGAGGAAATGTTCTAATAAAGTTAAATAAGTTAAGAAGAGGACTGTTATAGTATTAGGTATAGTATATATTAATATTAGTATTAAGTTAAGAATAGATAAAATAACAAACATGACTGTAAATTGTATTTGTTATTGTATAAAATATTTGCATTAAATATTTGTACCCAGACAACACACTGTTTAATGGAAGATGTTGTTTGAATCAATTTTTTAAAAAAAAAAAAAACCAGCAACAGTTGCATGGAAAAAGCAAGAAGAATAGGAAAGGGAATGAATGGGGATTATACATTTTGCATTCAAAAGGAACCAGATTCAATCTACCGAAACAACAGGTGGCATGTAAAATATGACAGCCCAATTAGTCTTCAGCTGGGGCCCACTACCATCTATATTTGTTCTGAGCAGTGTTTCCTTGCAACAGTAAATTATCTTGGTATTTTTCCTCAATAAACCTGAATAGCACTCCAGAGCTTTATGGGAATTTAAAATTGCTTTGAAGGACTTCTGTTTTAGTAAAAGCAACTTCGTAAAAAAAATTTTTTAAAGCAAAACTTTGTACTAAACCTGTTTTTTTATTCTTTTAATGTGTCATTGTACACCGCCCAGAATCCCTCTGTGAGAGAGATGGGCAGTTCTTATATATGAGAAATAAGTAAATAAATAATGTTTGCGGATTTTTAAAACTGCATCAGAACTTCATGAAGTAAATTAAGTTTCTAATCATATTGCCAGGTTATTAAAATCTAGTGGTGAAGTTACCATTGAAATTCCTACCACAGCTTGTGAAGGCCAAGAAAATGCCATTAAATCCTTGGAACATGTACAGTTTGAAGCAACAATTGAATATTCCCGCAGGGGTGACCTTCACGTGACCCTGACTTCCCCATCAGGTAAGATCATAACATTGTTTATTTCTATACTAGCTAGTAATTGTGGCATAATTTTTTTAAAAATTCAACAGATACAAAAATAACGAATACCTTGAGAAATGGAATACCTGCTAATAAGTTAGAATGGAAATAAAGAAAAAAAATATCCTGAAATTTCAAATAAAAAATATATATTCATGAGAACATTTTGGATAGCATGAATCAGTCTAAACCATGCACTTCATTTGCATTATCTAGCCAAATCACCTTTGCCTTATTAAAGTGAAAGCAACCCTGCAGCATTTCAGAAGGCTTCAGCTATTTCTACAGGTTCTCTAAAGTTTCAGATTACCAATTCAGCATTAATGAATCTATTTCGCCCAGTCCAATGCACTTCATAAATCAGACATGAAGCTGATAGTTCTCATACTCTGTAGTTCATTAGGATTGATATTTCTTTTTATTCTGGAGGTAATGTACTACAGTGAAGATTATTGACTGTTGATATCCCTCTTCCCTGGGATTTGTTTCATCTTTTTATAAGCGTAATCAGATGGTCTTATTTTATCTGGTGATAGCAAATTCCATAATTTGACTGGTTTTTATTGATCCTATTCAATTGGTCTCTGTGCAGTTTGATTCACTACATTCTTAAAGTACCAATGCCAATACTGTTAGTGTAAAGTAGTTCTAACAAAACTATACATGTCTCTTATGGAAGGCACACCCAATGCAGACTTACATGTCCAGCCATTGTTGTTTAGCTTATTAGAATAAGACAGCATTCTTAATTTCATATTTTGCAAGTCATATATTATGGCATTTTTGCTTTGTTCTCTCTTAAAATTAGAATGGTGCATGGTCAACAGAGCAATTTTCCTTCTTTGCTCAAGCGTCACAGCTTTCTGACATTCTATTCGGGTTTCAACTGGATTTGTGTCAGAAGAAAAAGAGGATGAATTTTTGGTGACGCCATCTTCCTTCTTGTATTCATTTAACTTGACATCTTCCACTTACAGTTTTGAACAGAAGTGCTTTGAAGAAAATAGGTTGCTAACTGCAGATAAGTTGAGGAAGCAAAATTAAGAAGGCTGATGATTAGAGAGGAATGTATATTTTGCATGCAGAAAGAAGTTTCTGTTAGCAATGTCTCCAAGTAGGTGAAAGGTGGGAAAGTCCCCTGCCTGAAAATTTTGGCAGTTTAGTATGTTCCCTGACATTCATCTTTTCTAAATATGAAACAAGTATTTTTCCCTATGGCACTACCTATTTCCCAGACACATATTCTGAATAACTTCTTAAAAGTTGGTTCAAATATTAAGATCAAGCATTCACATATATTGTGCTCTTGGCAATCTCTTCTTTTTCCCCTCTGTCTGGGCATACAGTGAACACCCTGGCAGCTTGATATGGCACATCCCACACCTACGAATACTAGCTCATTTTATATCTTTTATGAACTCCAGTGATGGATTCAGCCAGTTCGGGCCAGTTCGGGCAAACCAGTAACTAAATTGCTGGCTGGCTCTGCTCCTCCCCACCCCACCCCTTCCAGGAATCCCCATGTGCCCCATTTTGGCTCCAAGTTCAGGATAGCCTCCTAGGCCCAAAACAGGGTGCGGGGGGCGCGTTCCCCCCCCCCCGTGGCCTGTTTGCTCCCAGGGAGGGTGCAGAGGCCGAGTGCTGCCTGTCACCCCATGGCCACGCCCACCATGGCCACACCCACACAGCTGGTCATTAGGGCAGAGTACCAGTTGTTAAATTATTTGAATCCCACCACTGCTTCAATCTATATGTTGAAAGAAGCAATGAGATCAAGCCAACTTCTCTGCCCTTTCAAAATCTATGTATTAACTATAGATATCTGAAGAAGAATCCTCTATGTTCATAGACTTCCAGAGATATAATATATTTTTATAATACAACTTCCATGCAAACCTACATGCATACAATCCTATACAAGTTTTGATACTCCTATTAATGTGAAACTGATCTCATAATTTCTTTAATATAAAGGGATATAAATTTCCTTGTTGGTAAGTACACAAGATTATCTATCTGAGATTTATCTATGGCCCTTTTCAGCCTGTTTCACATTGATCTGGATTCAACCACATGCTGCTGTATGCCTATGTTTTTAGTAGTTTTTTTTTGCAGCTAAACTGATTGACTTCTGGCTCATCTCAAGCTCAAGAATCAATCAATACCTTGCCACCTTTTTCTCAAGCTTCCTAAACTGAACAGAGAGGTAGCTGTTGTTGGACAGCACTGTATTATTGGTCAGCTAGAGAGATTTCTGTCTGGTTCATGGTGAGTGCTGAGCATTGTGAAGATTGTAGCAGTGATGAAACAAAGATGATTCTGAGGATACAGAGGATGAAACTCTGGTCGTATTTCTTTTGCCTGAAGTTGAATTTTATATTATCCCATACTGGAATGTCACTTTTTTCTTTGATACAGGGACAAAAACAGTCTTACTGGCTGAACGGCAAAGAGATAAATCACCCTATGGTTTTAAGGACTGGGATTTTATGTCAGTTCACACCTGGGGTGAAGATCCAACAGGAACATGGATTTTAAAAATAATTGATACGGTGAGTAGGAAAAATTGTATGTATGGATGCAAAATAAGATATAGCAAAACAATACTACTAATCATGATTTGTTCAACTAAATATAGCTAGGAAATAGGTGAATGAAAATTATTTTTTTTGCAGCTTTAGTAGATAGGTGCATCTGTGTTCAACTACTGAAAGTTAAATGTATCAATTTCCAACTTTTGCATTTTCTTTTCAAATAATATTGGTGCTTCTGTTGGAAAACCAACCTTCCTTCCTTCCTTCCTTCCTTCCTTCCTTCCTTCCTTCCTTCCTTCCTTCCTTCCTTTCTTTTATTCTGAAATATGGCCTTTAATTTCAAGGTGAAAAGTTTCTACTGACTTCAGAATGGAACTATTTTTCCTACTCCATTGGTATTAAATTGTAAGACTAGTTTCCCACAAGAAGAAAAAAAAACATATAGGATGAAATAGGCATAAAATAAGATTAACAATGAATAAATGATCAAATGTTTCACAATTAAAGCTAGACACTGAAATCATGTGACATCTCCCTCTTCTGGTTAAACAGAAGTCTTTTTTACCTTTTCCTTTTTACCTCGGAAGGGACCAGAGACTTAGCTTTGAAAAATTCCAACTAAATATTTTAATATTGCCTGAGATCTTCAAGAGGGCAGAACTGTAGTTGTGGATAAATGTTCTATTAGTTAGAATAAGGCAAACTGTATATATATATTGCAGCAATTATCTGGTATTTATATTAGGGGCAAAATGAGTTTTTTTGAATGGTAATTTATACTGAATAGATCAGTATACATAGCAAATATATTTCTTGTGGCTAATGATTTTAGATAAGTTTAAATATTTTGTTGAGAAATTAAATACAGAGTCAAAATGTTTTCCTCATGATGTTAGCTTTGTTCTTTTTTTGAACATGTGTTTAACTCTAATTTGATTTTAAACGTTAGAACTGATTATTTTAAAAGGGTCCTAATGAATGTATTGATAACAAAGGTCAACAATGAAAAATATCTAATTAGGGTTTTATTTATTTATTATTTATTTATTTTAATTTGATTTATATGTCGCCCTTCTCCGGAGATTCAGGGCGGCTTACAGTGCGTTAAGCAGTGTAATGTAATGTAACGGGAGTATTTGTATTAGTGATTATATAGAATAATGGAGATATATATATATGAAAAATTATTTATTCACTTATTTAAAAGCAGAATACCTGATGACTTATAAGACAAAAAGAAATAGATTTCAATGCAAACTGGCAAATAGAAAAAGCAACATTTCTGAATGCAAGGCATCTTGCTGCTCTAAAAAGTAATTCCTGCTCCAATTAGCCTTAACTTTAATCACTGCTACCAATGGGATTTTTACTAAGACTCACTGCTTATAATGAATAGAATTTATGCTTAATTTTTTAGAACAGTTTTTAGGTGTACTGGTACTTTTGGGGCCTATTTAAGAAATATAATGGCTACGATTTTTATTATTGTTATTATTTTAATCACATTTATCTCCTGAAATGCCAAGTGGGAAGTTGTGAACTTCAGATAGAGAGTTGCATAACAATTAAAATATTTTAGAAATGTTACTCAATGGCTCATCACCTATAACTCAATTTAGATGGAAATCAATAGAGATTCTTCCAAAATAGAAATAAGATGATTTATTCATTTCATTTTCCTCAATATTTTTCAAAAAAACTAACCTATGGTCAGCTCATTTGTGCATAAATATTTGTATGGTTCTCAAAATGTACATTATATCCAATTTTTAATATATTATCTGAAAATAATCCATTTTGAACATACTTTACCCTAGAATATATAGTAGGTGTTTTTTAAATATATGCATTTTTGAGCTGTAAGCTATATTGTACATTTGGTAATATAGTATGTTTGGAGACATTAATGTGTTCTGATTTACATATATATTCAGAAAGTGAATGGATAGTACAAAATGAATAAGTTTCCCACTCATCCTTTATTACAAATGGTTGTTACTCTTTTAATTAAAATAGTTATGCTTGATCTCTGTACATTCAATAGAAGTAACTATATATGTAGCTTTTTAAAGAAACATTTACATATTCTATTAATTTTGGAGAGATGAATGTAAAGAAGCAGTCAATATGAGTATATAGACATCATCCAATTTAAATAGTTTAAGATTAAAGAAGCATTTTGAATACTCTTGTATTTTTATCTCTTAAATTTATGGACTACAAAAAGATTGACAATTACACTTTTCCTTAGACTAAAAGAATACAAAATGAAGGCAGGATTGTGAACTGGAAATTGATTCTGCATGGCACTTCTACGCGACCTGAACATATGAAGCAACCTCGCATCTATACATCATACAACACTGTCCAAAATGATAGGAGAGGGGTGGAAAAGATGATAGACTCTGTGGAGGTACCCATCTAGCCTTTTCCTATCTATAATTCTTTATAAGATGTGAAATAAGTGAGAATAAGTTTTCTTCTAAATTAATATAGACTAGTCTTTCATGAATTTCTCTTTAAAATCCATCTAAATCAACATTGCTTTTCCCTCCTGGGAGTTTGGAATTTCCCAACATTAGATGTGATCATGACTACTTGATTATATGGATTTTAAAGACAAATTCATGAAAGACTAGCATAAAAACAATAGCTACAGTAGTGGCCAAAATTGTGGAAACTTTCAGGGAAAAGTGCATTTTCTAAAACTAGCTAATAACACCACTATTTTTTGGAGTAGTGCCATAAAATTATATATCAATGGAAAGATAATTTAATCAAGAATGTAATGCAGTAACTTTTATGAAGGATTTGTTATTAGAATAGCAGTTACAGTATAAATTTTTATTTATTTAACACAAATTTATATGCCGCCCTTCTCCCAAAGGACTCAGGGCGGCGAACACAAGCTAGAAACATACAATAATAAAAGAAGAGTCTACTTAAACCAATTAAAATCAAAATAATAAATAATAAAACCCCAGAATCAGAACTCAGCCCATTTGTTGACATAGCCAAGTCTTTAGGCCCCGACGGAAGGAGCGGAGATCAGGCACCGTCCGGAGCTCGGTGGGTAACTCATTCCAGAGGATAAGAGCACCCACAGAGAACGCCCTACCCTGGACGTTGCCAGCCGACATTGTCTGGCCGTCGGTACCCTGAGGAGGGCAGCCTTATGTGAGCGGACAGGACGGTGGGAGGCTGGCAGGAGATGGTCCTGCAAGTATCCTGGACTTAAGCCATGTAGGGCTTTATAGGTGAGTACCAGCACCTTGAAGCGGATCCGGAGGACCACCGGCAGCTCGCGCAGGAGAGGTGTTACATGGGAGTAATGGGGAGCTCCCGCAACAACCCACACGGCCACATTCTGGACCAGCTGGAGCCTCCAGGTGCACCTCAAGGGCAGCCCCATGTAGAGAGAGTTGCAGTAATCCAAACGAGAAGTAACAGGGTATGAGTGACTGTGTGAAGGGCATCTCGGTCCATCTCGGTGCAACTGGCGCACCAGGTGAACCTGTGCGAAAGCCCCCCTGGTCACGGCCGTCAAATGATCTTCCAGAGACAGCTGGGAATCCAGGAGGACACCCAAGTTGCGAGCCCTTTCAACGGGAGCAAGAATCTTCCCCCCCCCCCATCAAAAGAGATGGGACCTCTAGAACACCAGGTGCCGGCATCCACAGCCACTCAGTCTTGGAGGGGTTGAGTCTGAGCCTGTTTCTACCCATCCAGGCCCACACCGCCTCCAGGCATTGGGATATCACGGAAAGGGCATCCCCAGCATGGTCCGGGGTGGAGATAAAGAAGAAAAATGAAACACATAGAAAAAATGAGATATACAAAAATTATCACGTCAGTTAATACTTAGTTGGGGAACCTTTAGCATGAATTATGGCCTTACAACATCTTCCCATGGAGTGAATGAAGTCTTTTAGTTCTCTAGCTGTTATAATGTGAAACCAAGATTGAATGATTGCTTCTATTAACTGGGTTTTATTTCTAAGTCACTTCTGACTAACAAGTTTCTTTAATCAGCTCCATAGATTTTCAATTGGGTTAAGGTCTGAGCTATTCCCAGGCCATTCCAGCAGTGAAATATGATTATCTTGAAACTCCCCCCCCCAAAAAAAGTGGTGTTATTAGCCATCAAACCTTAAAAATACACTTTTCCCAAAAGGTTTCCACAATTTTGGCCACTGTAGGTGTCATAGTACAAGAAATTCCTTCTGTGGTGCCAATATACTGTACATAAGCACTAGTTGGGAAAAAATTGGAAAAGCAACACTGGAAAATTTGTTATTACCGTAGTCCCCTGACTATTAGCTGTTTGTCTGGTCACTAGTTAGTAATGCATATGGTTCAAAATAACTCCTTATGTTCTAATTCATGTAGAATTAATACATAAACTTCCTAAGTATGCTAATTCCCCAAGCCATCACAAAATTTCTCCACAGGTCTCTAGAGCATCTTAAGTGAGCTGAGTCTCAAACATGAATAACTAGCTACACATGTCTACCACCACAGAAATAGAATTCTGTAATTTTGTTCCCAGGACATCCAGCTCAAATAGTATTTGCAGAAAAATTATGATCTACTTTTGGTAATAATCAATAGCTCCTGATGTTTGGTACCCTCATATCTATCTTTCAGGACCACACCAGCCAAGACAACCTGAGTGACAAACACAAAGTGAGAGGAAGCAAACAGCAGAACCAAGATGTGGTTCCTTCTGATGCAATGCTCCGTCTACTCCAAAATGCATTCCATAGTCAGCTGGTTGGGAATCATTTACCAAAGAAGATGCTAAATGAAAACACAGATATTCCATATGAACATTTCTATCAAGCTCTCGAGAAACTAAACCAAGGCCCCCAGCTGAGAGACTCAGAGGAGTCTCTATATAGTGACTATGTTGACCTTTTTTACAATTCAAAATCATATAAACACAGGGATGACAGACTACTTCAAGCTTTAATTGATATTCTAAATGAGGGAAATTAAAAAAAAAAAGTCCTTGGCAGAAACACTAGGTTGGAAATATTCACATCTGTAATGCACTCCAAATTTCAGACTAAGTGTCATCTTTCCATGAATACAATTGGTATTATTCTATATTTAACAATCACGTAAAGAATGAGGAAAACAAACAGTTTGTTAGATATGAAATGACAACCTATTTATTCAAAGCAACCAATAATCCTTTCAGATAGGGCCTCCTTCAGGAACGAGTAAAACCAATATCTCTAGGAAATAGCATAAATTCACTGCAACAGTTGTGTTTATCATCCCTCTACAAACTACAAATATTTTAGGTTTTATTTCCACTGGCCTATCTCAAAATGTAACATTGTTTGGAGATACTAGGAGACTTGTCTGTCTTTCTATTATGGTCCCCGGGCACAAAAAGGCATAGTGTTAGAAAGCCACATCCATGCTTTAGGTATATAATACATTTAAAAGGTAGCTCAGTTGAGATTGAAAGGGGCCCAAGCTAAATGTGCAATCAATGATATTTCAGGCAGAAGGAATATGTCTTCCCACTGATTTAGTGAGCACTATCCTGTACATGCTTGCTACTTGATAAATCCCATTAATTCCAGTGGGTCTTACTCTCAGATAAATATGCATAGGATTATAACTCTATTGAATTCATGGGGAAGACTTGGAGAAGAAACAAGACAGTGTCCTCATAATACCCTACCAATTTCTTTCAGCCCAAATATTGAAATGTATTTACTTTAGATCCAGTTTTTAGTTCCTTTTCCCTTACAGCTTCCTTCCTTCTCCCTTTGTTTGGTAAATCTAAACAAACATGGTACCTCTTCATTCTGTTATTTTCATCAGGAGAACTCCTTATTACATTAGACAAGCCAGGCACAGATTTTGGAAAAATCAAAGTTTCTATCCTGTTTATTTCAGAGGAGAGTTTGTCCTTGTTTATCTCACAAGAAGAGTTTACTAGGAAAAGCAGTCTGTGGTAATTGGAGTTGAGTCCTAATGGAAAAGCATTAGATTTTCTTCTTCACTTGTATGAATGTCAGCCTTTGCTAGGCTCTCAGGTTCATACAGTTCAAGAGATAGAATTCTCAGAAGAGAGAGATTATTTTTTTAAAAAAGAAAGAAAATTCTAAATATAAATGTCAAAACACTGAATAGCATTATAATTGGTATTCTATTTTTTTTCACCCAATGATGTTACTTTTTCCAGCACCCAGTTGAGAGACTGATATCTGTTCAAAACTGATATGATAAGCCGATAACCAAAAACCAGAGGGGTTTTTTAAAGTAATAAAATATTCCTTTTTTTAAAAAAATGGTTTGGCTGTTACATTACACATGGCAGCATTTATAGAGAATAAGGATTAGGGTGAAGTCTGTCAGAGACTAAAATAGATAAAAATATGGAAAAGAAATCATGAAGAAAAAAATAGACATAAAAAGGCTGCAAGATCAGAAAGAAAGAAAAAAGAAGGGGTGGAAAGCATTACAGGCTGAAAGCTATGCCTGAAAAATTACTTTCTCATTTAACAAAAGGTATGAGAAAAATCAATAAGATTCAAAACAACATATAAATCATACAGGATTTTACCTTTTTCCCAAAGTCCATGTTTTTAGTACATGTAGCCAGTTATTAAAATAAAAACTATCATATTACCAAAATGTTCTATTTTTGCCTCAGAATTACATTTAGGGCCACGAACATTAGACTAAGAACAGCGGTTGCTATCATGCCTTAGATTAATCAAGCCTTCTTGAATTTTAGCAAGTTGGTCTTATTGGTTCTGGATGCTCCAAAAATGGGCTGGAGGATTCATGCAGTCCATAGTTTGCCAGCACATGGCTTAAGATCTCAGAGCAAAAGATTATCTTATTTGGAAAAAGCTTATTTTCCATTTATTTTACTAGTCATGTGCTTCCAACTACAAAAATGGAGCAAGAGGGACATTATCTCTCCACCAGTTGCATGGAAAGATATCAATATCCGTTCTAATCATGATCAGCATGGAAAGGACAGCAGCCAAGAGCAGCATGAAATCAGACACACTTCCTACCTGCTGCTAGTGATTCCTGGCAGGGAAGGCAAAAATCTTGGTGGTTTTTTTTTTAAACATTTTAATATTTTGGGAAAAAGTTTTTGTGAATTTTATAAATTCTATTAAAGGAGCAGAATTATAATAAGAACTGTAATTATCTCTTTCCCCTTTAATTTAAACATGGTATTATTTATACGCTGAATACATTTCATTAGTATTTTTCACCAATATTCTATATTTACGATAAGAGCAGCAGAAAGTTCAGAGAGAGAATAATCTAAATAGAAAGCACGAATAGAATTCAAGATGTTTCTCATACAAGGCTATCAGAAGGAAGAGGATGTGGTTTTATTCTCCACAGTGACAAAGGGTAGGACAAGAAGCAATGGATGTAAGTTTTATAGAAAAAGATATTTAAACTTAAACTTAAAATTAGGAGGAATGTCCTGACTGTGAGAATAGTTAACTTGCCTCTGATCCTGGAAGTCTTCAAACAAGGTCAAACAATCATTTGTCTGGTGTAATCTAAGATTTCCTCCCATAACCAGAGGTTGAACTAGAAGACTTGCAAGGAAATCTATGCTTATGAGAAGCACACAACAAATTATAGGGCATTTCCTTTATTAAATAGTCAAAAGGGAAAGATATATCGCGCATATCACTTTGGCTGGATTCATACATATGTCTTTTCTTTGGTTTTATGCTATGTGGTTCCAAACATTGTTAAAATACTCCATAGCTTAATGCAAAATCCGGACCCAGTCAGGATTTGAATTCTTATTTCTAACTTAACCTGTGAAGTCTACAAATTTCTGTCCAGAGGGAACAGCAGTAGCATTAGTATAGTGTAAATTGCCATTCAATAACAGCAGTTGCTAGTATAGTATATTATTGTTATGCTCCTTTATAGACATAAATTATACTTTATTCTTTGTTTACAGTCAGTATCCATATTGTGGCCAAAATTAAATGAAATCTAAATTAATCTTGTGCAAATTCTAATAATGTGAATGTTTCCAACCTAGACTGAATCCTAAGAATGCTAAGTTATTTTGGTTAAGTCTTTTCTTGGTGCCAGTATGTGTTTGTGAAAATGTAAAATGTAAAATGAAAGACAAAAATGTTTTATGTCAAGGAAAAGGAATTATATTTTCTTTACAGGTATTTATAAAGTATTAAAGCTTTTATCAGATATAATTTAATTTAAGAAGAATAAATTATGAGAAACTTTAAAAATAAATAACAATTTTTTATTTGAGCAAAACTGTTTTGTCCAATAAAGATTTTTGGATGGCATGTTGTAATTACAACAGCCACATGTATGTGATGTAATGTTAAAATTTACATTTGTCTAATCGTACATTATACATAATACAACATAATGTGTTAGCAGAGCCCAGATTGTGTGGTCTTACCATTTGTAAAGCAACACAACACCAAAGCAACTCCCAAGACAAATTAGATGAGAGATATTAGGTGCATTAGTCTAATTACTGAACAAGTAATGGAATGGAGAAACTATTATAATAGAGACAGCATTTATAGCATTTATATACTGTTTTCAGTACATGAATTTGCAATTAATAAGATAAGTCACCTTGCTCTCTACTATAATGCAAGAAATCAATAATTGGTACATTTATATGTGGGTGTGAGATTTGTTAATGCAGTGCTTGGAGTCAACCTTTCCCAACTGGACTCTCTTCAAAGGCGTTCATAATAAATGTCCAGAATTCCTTAGGAAACATGAAGGACAGTGTCTTCCTACTACATATTTAGATTAATCCACCTTCATCATAGTGAAGAAATTAAGTTGTCCATATGCAGGCACCAATACTTACAAGCTAAACAAGACTTATGAAAATACAATAATCTTATTTTCTTCAGCATCAGAGGCACATGTAGAACAATGGTTTTCAGGTGAGTAAACTGTGTTAATGAACAGAATCAGGAGAGTGAAAAAATTGTTTGGTATTACAATACCAGAGGTGAGATAATTAATATTTACTTTTCTTATAAATAAAAAAGAATACGCCAGGTATTGTTACAAGAATCAGCTCCCAAATTCTGTGATATATTTGTTGAATTTCTAGGCCAGCCAGCTCCAGAGTGACTTTGAATGGCTTCACAAGTTAAAAGAAATAACTTTATATAAAAAACAAACTATGTCCAAAGAACAAGATAATCTCAAAGGGGAACAGGCCAACATACCAATTTAAGGCCTGGGATAGTAGGGGAGTTTTTAAAGGTCACCTAAAGGCAAATGAGGTGAAGACCATATTGCAATGCTGTTACAGAAAAGGCCCACTTCTTCAGTCATACTAAATGGTATTGCTTAATTGACAGGATCAGAAGCAGGTCAGCAGAGTATGAAACTACAAAACAGGTAGTCCTTTAATTAGCCACGCCCAATGCTATTTATAGGTAATAACCATCACCTTGAATTGTACCCAGATGCCAAATGTCAGGAAGTTTCTCCTTAGTTCTAGATTGCTTCTCTCCTTGATTAGTTTCCATCCATTGCCTTTTGTTCTGCCTTCAGATGCTTTGGAGAATAGGCTAATCCCTCTTCTTTGTGGCAGCTGTTTAGATATTGGAACTATCATGTTATCCCTTAGTCCTTCTTTTCATTAAACTAGACATACCCAATTCCTGCAACTGTTCTTCATATTTTAGCTTCCAGTACCAAATTCTCCAGATTTTGTATCCGTCCTAAGTGAAATATGCAACCACAGGGCAAACATGCAATATCTCTAACCCTCAAAGAACCAAATACCCATAGCCACTTGATCTAGCTGCACTTAGCCTGACCTTATTCCTCCCCATCCAGACCTCATCAGCCTCCAAGCACTGGGATAAGACCCCAGTCAGGGGTCAAGATGTACAATTAAGTAACATCAACACACTGATGATACCAGAGTCCACACTGCCAGATGACCTCCCCCAATAATCTCATGCACATGTTAAGCAGGAAAGCAGGTGACTGCATCAAGTCCTGAGGCACCTCACATAGCTGCCCAATAGAGGGTCTAAGTCTCATTCCTGTCCAACAGAGAGTAATCACCCAAAAAAGGGCCACATTTAATTAGTGGTTGTGATAAAACTGGAGAAATAATGTTTTCCCACCTTATCACCATGATGCAATCCCTAATGTGGGTATTACGTGTGCTCTCCAACTGCATTCTAGGTATCTTTTCTGACATTTCAAACGTACATACTGTACATACACCCCAGACTGATGGAGAATGAGGGAACTGATCCTATCTAAAGATCTCAAAGGCACAAAAGTCTGACATTTTGATGTGACATTCCAATCAGGTGGATAAGAAAGAAAAACAGAAGAGAAAGAGGAACAAGGGGAATTTTGGAGATTACATTTACTAGCTTTTGAGTTGTCCCTATCCGTGTCTGAAATAGCTGTATTGGGCAAGTTAAAAATAATTAACCCTGAAAAACTGATGTTGTTATACAAATGTATATCAGTCTAAAGATTACAATCATATTAAAAATGGAGACATAGAATCACATATTTCATTGAGCATGTCATAGAAAGATTGAATTTAACCCACAGCTAGCTAATCCATCATAGACATTTTCTTGGATTTCAAAATAATATTTTTGAACATATATTCATTATAAAAGTTTGTACTGTATAAGCTAAGTTTCAATATTGTCATTCTGCCAAAGAATCTGAGTCATTTAAAAAAAATAGCACATGCTTCACCACCACCACCCCCATGAAAAAAAGGGATTCAAAACCTCAAGATGGTAGTTACAACTGTGAGGTAAAAGTCTTAACCTTTTTTAAAAATCTGTTTCTTGAGCACAATCATGTGATCATGGTCACTAGTTTGATTTTTTTATTCCCCTGCAATACAATCTGTCTACAATATCTTCAATCCTGAGCCTCCCAAATATGTTAGGACTACAACTCCAACAGTTCCCAGACAGCATGACCTTTATTTATTGAAGAATTGGGAGGTGCCAAGTTCAACAGATCTAGAGATTCAAGGATCCTTCCTGTCTCCTCCCTCAGTCACTTAGAGAAAGCCAGGCACAAAAAACAGAACTTATCTTTACTTAAGATATCAGAAAAAGCAGATTATATGGAAAATTGTTTTAATATTGATGTTATTTAATTATTTATGTAACTTGGAATATACAGCTGGTAAGGAAGCGTGCTCTCCGTTCCCTTTCCCCCCACAACTCCAGTCCAGTCTGATTAATATTGGTAGTCAGGTATAAATGGATTTGTTTTTACATTATCTTTTAATGCTTTTCTTTAATAATGCTTTCTTTCAATAAAATGCTCTGAATGCTAAATAAACAGTAATGCAGGCTTCTGCAACCTGATAAGAAAATGCACTTAGAACAAAATAGCTGCAGGTTTATTAATGAGCTCTGTGTTTCTTCATGGAATAAAGCAATAAAAACTCAACTCTAATAAAGTCTATGCCATATGCCAGTCCCATTAAAAGTGGTAAACCAGTATAACATCCTTTCATTTGGAGACGAAGATATCTACAACTCACAACCTAGCAAATGTTCTTGTTGATAAGAAAGGAATGTTCCATAATCTATAATTCAAATGGCAAATCAAATAGCAAGTGGCTCAGTGATAAGGATAAAAAAAAAAAGAGGTTAGATAATAGCTGGAAATGTAAGGGATACTGAACCTATCCCTGTCTTACAACACCTTTGTACTGGTTCTTCATCTCAGGACAAACACTATTTCTATTTTGTACTCCTGGTTTAGACTGAGTATCCTTCAGTCCAGCCTTCTAAAAATGAATCTTCCCAGCAATTTTCTCCATGGCTATTTTCTCCCCCATATCTGCACTCATGTTTCACACTAACCAGAATCCCTTTGCCACTAAAATTCATAATTGCCTATGAGAAAGCCTAGTCCAGAATTAAGTTCTCTACATGCATGTCCTTTAATTATGGTGCAACTTCTTCTTAAAGTAAGAAATGCTACAGGGAAAAAAGAGAGAAATGCTGGAAAAAAGAAACAAAGATCAAAACTATGGTTTCCAATGGGCCTTTCCATATAACTACTGGGTTCACCAGAACATTTAAGTCTAACGTGGCTGATTTGTAAGTTAATATGCTGTGTCAAACCAGACAATTACAATTTATCCAGTAAACTATACCGTGTCTCTCCAAAAATAAGACGCTGTCTTATATTTTTTTGAACCCTGAAATAAGTGCTTGGCCTTATTTTGGGGGATGTCTTATTACTTTGGGGCATGTGGAGCAAGATGGGGCTCCCTTTGCTATCTTACCTGATTTCCAGCTCTGTCTCTCTAACCCTAACCAGAGGAAATGGCAGGGACCGGCTGTGCATGCGTTTAAATATTTTTGGGGAAGGCTTATTTTTGGGGAGGGCTTATTTGGGGGAGCTGATTTTAGTGCATGTGCTCAAAAGCCCAATTGGGCTTATTATCAGGGAATGTCTTATTTTAGGGGAAACAGGGTATTAAATAAATAAGAGTTTTGTGTGTTAACACAACCTAAATACATTACAAATTGGAGACAGGATTTTTTAGTATTCTCCTTCCTTGCTTCCTCAGTCAATTCTTCATGGCTAAAAGGTTCAAATAGAAAAATCATCCCTGTGTAATCAATCTGAGCATCATTTCAGGTCCATGGAGTCACCCTAGAAATCCATGCTCAAATTTTTGAGCATTATATAGCCAGAATAAGTTAACAATTTTGCCCATAGCAGCACTGAAAATATTCCAGCCCAGGAGCAAATCTACCAACTTCTGTAATGTGTAGAAGGGTGTGAGCTTCAGGCCTAGAGAAAGATATTTAATTACTACATTGCAAATAGAATACAAAGAGGCTCTTATCATGTCTGTTCCATTTCCCTTTGCTGCATACGATTTTCTAGTTCACTCAAGAACTTGGTCCAATATTCATAATTGCTTTTCGCATTGCCAGTGCTTTGTCAGTGAAACTATGGAAAGAAACGAATTGTGGTAAAAGGTTACCAGCATCTTTAGCTACTAAAATTAGAAGTTGACCCCATAAGAACCCCATTTGTTCCCATAAGAATATTTCTAACTCTGAAAAGGTACAAAAAATACCTGTTAAAAGGGGTTTCCTGTTCAAAAAGAAAACATTGAAGGATCTTCTATTGTCATACTGCTTTGAAATAAAGAGATTGACCATTCTGACTTCTAACTCATACATATTTGTATGTATGAGCCAAAGTACCAATCTCATTAGGCTTCTCTCTCCTAAAATCTAGGAAAACAAACTGAGGCTGTCATCTACATTTACTGGGATTCCTTAAAACACAATTTTACTTGTGGAG